TTCCACCAGAATTCCACCAGGTTTTGTAAGGTAAGGTTCCATGAAGGTTCCAGCACGGTTCTAGCAGGGTTCCACGAGGTTCTGCGAGGGCTGCGGGGTGGTCCGGAGTGGTTTGAGGTATGGCTCTCTGAGGGTTTCAGGGTTCCACAAGATTCTGCGAGGGCTGTGGGCCCTGAAGTTTCACAGGGTTCCACAAAGTTCTGCAACGATTCCACACGGGTTCCACAAGGCCCCACAATGTTCCACCAAGGGTTCTGCAAGGTTCCGTGGCTTGCCCTGGAGGGAAGCAGTGGTCGCGCGCCCGTCGTCTGAAAAACCATCGGATCAAGATTGGGCGGAACACTAAGCAAAACCGAAATCAATGGCTTTTAGCACACTTTCACTGCTTTGTGACGTGCTCACTTGCTCAGGCAAATGTTGGCTTTGTGGCAAATCAGATCACGTCGCTGCGGGACTCACGGTGCAGCAGAGTAAATGCTTGGCATTGCTGCTTGGTGGGCTTTGGGTTCCAAGAACTCCACGAGGGTGGAAGGGGTATGAGGTAAGGTTCCAAAAACATTCCACAAGGTTGCCACCAGGTTCTGCAAAGGCTATGGGGCAGCCCTGAGAAAAGGCTCCAACAAAGTTTAACGCTGAGCTCCACGAAAGTTGAATGAGAACGGTTTGCGAGGTTCACCGGGCCTAGGTCGGGGCCCGATTGCACTGTCGGGGCCCGATTGCACCGCTTGGGCCCGATCGGCCCCGAGTGCGCCATCCTCCCCGATTGGGGCCCGACCCCGTCAACTGTACCAAGCTGGCGTCGCCTAGTTTTGCTATTGATACAGTTGTAAACCGCATGCTAAGGAAAACCGGCGTTGAGCTATAATATGGGTGGCTGGGGTTGCACCACGGGACGATCGGACCCCAATTGCACCGTCGGGCCCCGATCGGGCCCCGATTGCGCCGTCGGGCCCCCATCGGGCCCCGATTGCGTCGTCGGGTCTCGATTAGTTTTGGTTTAGAAAGTTACAAGGCGGCATCCTCAGCAACACCGGCGGTAAGGATGGTCCCGGGGTGTTCCGCGGGGATTCTGGGAGGGTGTGGTGCTGTTGGGGATATCGTCCGAGCTTATTTTTTGTTTCTTGTTATTTTCTCAACAGCTGAAAGCTTTGGGGTCTCAGCCCAGACAGGCTCCGGGGTGGTCCGGGGCGGCCCTGAGGTAAGGTTCTACGAGGGTTCCACCAGGGTTCGACGAGGGTTCCACCAGGGTTCCACCAGGGTTGCACCAGGGTTCCACGAGGTTCTGCGAGGGCTGCGGGGTGATGCGAGCACTAAGAAGAGCACCGCATGCCGTTGGGGATATCACCTGAGTTTTTTTTTTTGGGGGGGGGGTAGCATATATATATGTATATATATATACGCTACCACCCCCTTGAAACACTCAGCTTTTCGTTCGGAACTCAAGTTTTTGGCCAGGCTGGGGCACTCTGAGCTGAGCAGACAGGACTCCATGCAAAGTCAAACCAGGCAGAAGTTAAGCTCAACGTTCAAAAGGAGCTCCTAGTTAAGCAGCTCGACCGCGAAGTGCGCTCAAAGTCACGCTTCTGCGAAGTGCACTTTGGTAGCCCCAGCTTAAAAAGCACAACTTTCAGCACAAGAGTAGTACGCGAAGCATGCTTTGGCAGCTTCATAATGCTTGCAACTAGCTGTTTGGTTATTATTTCCGTTTTACAAGGAAACTCGGCAACTCATTCACTTGGGGGAAAGGAACTCAATCCTACTTGCAACTGACATCCAAATCAAAAATAAAAGTGCTTCATGTCCTTGCGCAGTTGCATTTGCATGTTAGTTCCTTTTTGTACGTAATTCCGTATACATTCTAACTAGGTGTCTTGAAATCAAGCTTGCAAAGCGGCTATCTCAGTTCTGCGTTACTTGCCTAGAGCGATTCAACCACTGTCTAGAGCAAGTATTGAAATTCAACTTTAACCGGTTGCAGTCTTGTGCGTTTCAACACAGCTTTTGTCATGGCCAATTAAAGCTGGAATCAAGACATAACTCATCAGTTTTATTGTCCTTATCTAACTCCATGTGGGTTTAACCAAACCAAGAACAATGAGTGTTTTCAAACCAGAGATCTTATTCTTTGGCGTAGCATGCTGTAAAACGCGGTGTTTTCAACATTTGCTCAGATCATGTTGCCCTGGATCGAAGGCCAATTCCACAAGCATCGGTTTAGAATATCCTCAGTCCTGGCCCTTAAAAAGCTTGAAGGTTTTCCCACCTGCATTGAAGATTGAAGATCTCCAGATGCTGTTTTGTGAGAATCGTCCATGCTAGCCAGCCCTCAAGTCCCACAAAAGCTGTAAAGTTTTCAACACACATGTTTCCCTTATTTGCAAAATGCAGGCGGTGCACATCCACACTTTGACTCTTGGAACGTGCTCTGCTTGTCCGCCTTGTCAGGTTCCATACTTGGGGAATCCAGGATCTGCTTTCACACCATGGATTGACGATTGAGGATTGAAGGTTCTTTGGCAAGCGTGATGGGATTCTTCAAATATATACTCAGGGCAATCCGAGATGTGCCAGCACGTGCTAGCGCACCCTAGAGGAATCCGGTATGCGCTAGCACGCGCTAGCACATCCTGGGCTGATTTGAAGATTGAAGATTATCTCGCAACCCTTACTGGGATTCTTCAAAATCTTCAATCTTCAATCCAGGATGGCTAGCGCGTGCTAGCACATATCAGTTTGACCTAAAACTGTCTTTCAAGATTTCCAGAAAAGTGGTCTGAGAATCTTCAATCTTCAATGGTTAATCCAGGTATAGATATGAAGAATCTCAGCAAGAGTTGTCAGATAATGTTCAATCTTCCATCAGGAGATGCTGGCACGCGCTAGCACATCCTGGATTGCACTAAGTACTGATGCTATAATTCAGGTCTAAAAAAGAGTGCGTTTGTTGAGCATCATTTTTAGAAGCTGGGAAGCACAAATGTTCGTAGTTCCATCGGGCTGCATGAACGAGTGCTAGACCTCTTCTTGGGGAGGCTGAAGACCAAAGGGCAGAGTCCTTGCAGCTAGTGGTGAAAGATCAGATGGGCGTTCAGCAGCCAGGGACAGCGAGGTTGGGACAGGCCTGACGGTACCCTACATTGCAAGCTACCGGCCCAACATCGGAGAGCTTCGGATTGGCGCCAGCAGCCTAGCATTTGGAGTCAGGTCTGTCGGATGGGCCTTTCGCAATAATGCAGATCCGTACATTGTGGCCCAGAGCAGAGCGTCGTTCGAGCGCTTCAAGCGGGTGACTCCTGATGCGCGACTCATCATGATCGACGTCGACTTCAACATGATCATATTGGCGCCCCTTTTTTTCCTTGAGCAAGGTGACGGTAGTCCTGCTCATGAGAGGTTTCGCACCGACGGTGCTCTCCCTGAGCAAAATCAGAGGCTTCCTGAAGGCAAAAAACGGGCTGGAGCCCTCGGATGTCATGGTGCTCAACGTATTAGAGCAACTCAGAAATTGTGTAAAAATTGCAATTTCTGGATTCAAGATTCAAGAATGTGTGAGACACTATTTTCTGGGAATCTTGAATCTTGAATCCCATATTTTTTAAAAGATGAAAGTTTTTGGATTCAAGATTCAAGATTCAAGAAGCTGAGAAAATATTTTCTGGGAATCTTGAACCTTGAGGCTTGAATCTCAGACTTTTTTAAACCCAGGTTGTCCCAATACTCCGGTGTTCAATCAGATTCTCAGAAAAGCTTTCCTGGTAAAACACGATCGAGGTTTTGAACAACTCGAACATTTTCAGGGGTTGACCAGGCTGGATGATTCTGAGGAAAGCTGTTTTTTGTGCAATCCTCAGTATTGAATCCTCAATCCAGCGGTAAAGCACTTTCAAGTGTCAGAAGAGCTTGAATGTTGTTTGGGTTTGGCCACCATTGACAGTTCTCCGGAAAGTGTTCTGTGTAATCTTTAATCTTGAGTCTTCCATCCAGTGGTAAAATACTTTCAAGTGCTTGGCGATCCAGTGGGAACCAGCAACTTTCAAGTGCTTCTGGTGAGCAGGTTGCTTCATGTCAGCTATGCTTATGTTGACCCTTTTCCAGGAGGTAAACACAGGTGGGTGTAACGCTCAAAAATACCCTATTTTACGGTATTGTATGAAGAGGCGCAGGACCATTAGGGGTATTATCTATTTGTGTATGAATGTGTATATGTATATACATGTACATATGCATGTATGTTCACACACCGTCACACCCTCCCCCTCTTGAACTACCTGTCCACATTTGCTCAACTACGACCTCCACCTTTTGAGATAGAATGAATTTTGTTTTGCTGTGCAAATGCAAATTTTCATGCAACTGATTTAGCTAAATCCATGTTTCGAGATAGCTTTAGAATTTGGACCTCCCTCCAACACCGTCTAACAAGTTCAACGTCGGACCTTTCTTATGCTATAAAAAGGGCCAGAGTATAATAACACAAATTGTACCTCGATTTTTCTTGTAGAAGTCCCTTAAATGTTTAGCCATATGTATATGAGATATATCTGAGAAGTGGTATTTATTTCATTGTTGTTCTCAGCTAATTGAATTGTGTTTGTATTGGGTTATATTTGACAGTTAGAGTATATCTGGAAATAAACTATCTAACTTCCTTTATTAAAGGTTAGTTGGAGTTTACCCGAAACTATATGTACATTTGCATGTAGCTCCTATTTTGGAAAGGATCACATAAACACATATTTTGCAAGCTTTATCCTTACTAAACTTTATTCAAAATTCCAATTGTAGTTGAAGTAAAATCCTATTTGAAAAGGGTATCATATGAACATTCTGGAGGACTCCGTGCTCCAAATTCGGGCTTTTGGGACCCACATTTGGACATTTCGAGACTTTAAGTTTTGAGATTCTAGATTTACGAGGCACGCTTGGCTCTATCCACCCACGGGAAACCGTGGAGATTAAAGGGAGGGGGGTGCCCTCCTTCCATTTCCAGCAAACCGCAGGCACAAAGGCACAGGGATCGGAGCCTCTTTGGCGGCTGCGTCTTCGTGCGGCTTTCTGGGCACATCGCAAATGCCGACGCCGTGCAGGCGCCAGACCCCCAACCATGGACCTCCAACGGGGGGCCATGGAAAGGGGCGGCTCTTCCTTATGAACCCCTTAATGAGGCCTCATCAAGGGCTTATCTTTGGCTTATCCTAGGCGTGGCCAGGGTCCATGACCTACCCAAGGCGTTTTTCTGACAGGCGACCTTGATTCGGAACTTCACTTGTTCTTCTCCTATATTTTGGTGGTGGGCCTTTGAGGCGGCATTTCCCCCTCATGGGCCACGTCCATTTTAGTTTGCAAAGGTTTGTAGTTCGACGGTCACGAGAGGCTCGGAGGAACCCTGATCAAGTCAAAGCAACCCAGCGGAACGCACAACCACGCGCGACGGGCAGGTGGCTCACTGCCACATGAACTTTATGGACCGAGCTGGCTGGGACAAGCAGATGGATGGGTTCCGCATTTTGCCCCTCGGCGCGGCCTGGATCCGGATCGCCTCACAACGGGAACTCCCGGGCGGGCTGTGTGGGCCGAAATTGTTTTTTCCCCAGCAGCTGCAAGGTATGGGGTCGGGCCCAGATGGGCTCTGGGGTGGTTTGGGGCAGCTTTCAGGGAGGGTTCGGGAGGTGTTGGGGATACCGCCTGGGCTTTCTGGCATCTCGTTTGCAGATTTTGGACTTGTTGAAGGTTCAGCAAATCCGGGTCAAGCTCAAAGTTTTTTTTCTTGGGTGGGGCGGGAGGAGCTAAAGCTGAGGTGGTTAGAACCCAGGAGGAAACCTGTTTGAAGGGCTCCTGGTTTCTAGGCAACCCCTAGTTAGTGGTTTGGATGGCGGTTTGTGGGTTTGAACTCCAGTTCCATTGAAACTAACGGTGAAGGTGCCCAAAACTTTCGTCTAAACCACCAAACCACCAATTCGAGGGAAGGTGAGGTTTGGCGCCATTTGGTTTTCCGCTCTCGGCGTGGAAGCTGGCAAGGCACCACGCGGCTGGAAATGACCTGCTCTACTCTGTGATTCACGCCCCTCGCTGTGGCAAGCGCATTTGGAGCTTTTGGGTTTCCAAGCCGCCTCCTTTCAAGCAGGAGGGGGGAGAAAAGGGCTCGCCAGTGTTGAGCTAATGTTATATACTCCCACACGGGCTCACTGTGAATAACGCTGGTTTTGGCTTTCGTTGGGTCCACGTAGTGGTGGATGCCCCGTTCGCCATATTGCAAGTAGAGGAACAAGTTGGAACTCTGGCGAATATACCCGTGGTTTCGTGGGTGGGTGTGGTTGGTTTACTTGCAAAATGCCTTCGTTCGCATCCACAGCACCTTCGACAAAGGGGCGGTTAGTTCCGTGGAACGGAACTGGGGCACCCTCAATCATCTATGGAAGGAGGTGGGGGTCCCAATAAGTGTTCTCCCTTTGGGCGCAAGGGAAATTGACTGTAGATTCTGGGGGAGCAAATGGGGATGTAAAGAGCCCCAAGTATTCAGAAGGATAAAAGCCAAAAGCCAGGAAATCAATCGATAGTCATGTAAAGAGCCCCACATGTTCAGAAGGATTACAACAACTTCTCAAATCAAACAAACATATTTGGGACTTGTATCATGGAGGCCGAGCCCACCAAGCTCGCATTGATTTGCCGAGGCGCCCCCTTTAGCGGACCGGGACTTCCTGATGTTTCACACGGTGTTCCGGCACGAGTCGGGCCGTGGACTGATGCCGCCCGGCTGGCTCGGACCAGGCATACATGCGTTCGCATGGAGGCCGATTCGGACGTGTCCCAAATCGGGGATTGGGGAACGCCAAAAGGGTTGCCCTTCCACCAATTAACATGGAAGTTGACAGGAAGGTTTTGACGACCATGTTCCTCTTAAAGGCCCCTGTCAGGTTCCAGGTTGATTGGTGAGAGGGTAGTTTTGGTTTCTCCTTTGCAGCATGAAAGGGTACTGTACAAAATTGGACAGGCCCATTTCGCAGTCAAGCAAAAGTGGACCCTGGGCATTGCAAGGATGCGCTTAGCCGTTGACCAAACAGGAGGCAGCGTATGGGGGTGAGGTTGCATGTGTGTGCAAAGTCTCTTGTCTCAGTCGGGTCGGAGGCCCGTTGCTTGCGTCGAGTTGAGTAGCTGAGAGCGGTTTTTGCCAAGCGGCATGCGAAATCTTTTGGCGTACTCGACAGGGACAGTCAGAACATGTGTATCCAATCGGCTCTTCTAGTACCAAATAGACTGCCCCGCAGTGGGTAGTTTTGTCAGCGCACATGCCAAGATTCAGGTGACCCTTAGTTGGTTGCACCCAAATACCTTTTGAAACCAAGTGGAGGAAGGTACCCCCTAATGTCCAAACCAACAAACCAAGCAGTGGCCAAGACCAATGTGGGGGTAAGGTGAACGAGGGACCCCCAACGAGCGTTGGGGGTCCTTTGTTTTCGGGCAGAGCGTTATCGACACATGTCGAGGTTGGCGTGTCACGGGATGCGCTTGGACCTTCGTTGAACAATTCTGGACCCGTTTTACCTTAACACTCGCGAGCGTGTTCAGATGCACAGCTTGTAGCGGCGTGCCATCATGCTACGAGTGAGCAAAGTCTTCGGATTCATTGCCCTGGCAGCTCTGAAAGCGCGACTTGCTCCCAAGCATTCTGAAAGTCGTCTAGCTCCGAAATCCGGATCTCCCCAGAAAGCTCAATTTCGAGCAAGCTGCAGCAAGGAAGGACAGCAGCTGATCAAATTGCACGAATTGTGTGGCGATGTGCAACGACCCCGGCACCTCACCTTTTGGAGTCCAACGTTGATCGAGATTTCTTTGGGCTGATGTGGAAGGAGGCCATTACCCTCGCCCCAGCAAGCACTGCAAGATCGAAAGCACGCGCCTACCCTCTTTGCTGTTGGGCCGACCCTTTGTTTTTATAGCATGTTTTATTGAGCCACTATATTTCGAGCCTCCTTTTGGTTTCCCTTTCCTTGCCGGTGCTCAGTAAGGAAGGACCTTGCGGGTTTTGGGCTTTTCACCGTTTTTTGGACTCCCGAACTTCAGGAAGCTTAATGGTAACCGGATGGTTTTCCTCGGGGTCGGACTCCGTTTCTCAGGGACGCTGCCTATCGAAGCGATCGCAAGCATAGGTGCCCTTTGTAGGTTTGTTTGATAAACAATGAATGGCACCGCTTTAGATGGGGTTTGTTCCATTTGCCAGGGCCATTTATACTTCCAAAAGGCCACCTATGATCGCAAGTTTCGTGGCCAGACCGCGCTGAGGCTCTACAGCCGCTCCGCGGACGACACCTTCTGCCCGCCCACCCGCAAAAACATCCGCGCCATGCAGCACCTGGCAGCGCACCAGATCATGCAGGCACCAAAGGGCCGGAGAAGCCGACGGGGACGCGGGCCCATGCCCCAGCAAGATGGCTGGGCTTCCTCTTGGCAAGCGAAACATAGCGCAACACACAGAAAGAAACAGAAGCAAAAGACGGAGCCCCCAAAAAAGCAGGCCTCATTTGGCTGAGGCTGGCCAGTGGTGAGCAACCAATTGTCCTCTTTCCCGTTCGGATAGCATATCTAGATTTGTCTATGGTCCATCTGGGGTTCTTCGGACATCCCACAAAACCAGAGGACGAGGGCCGGGGCCCGCCGCAAAGGTGCAAGGCGAGGAATCAGGACATTTGCCCCTCCCCACCCGAAAGTGGCTGAATCTGGCTTTGTGTCCTTTTAGTTTTAACCCCAAGCCAGGGTTTCCTCCATTTCCCTTTTTGGAGCCTCCAAAAGTGGACATCGATCTTTTTAATGCACACCACCCGTAAATGGTTTAATGCAGCGGGAAATCCAATGACCCCTGCAAGCCGACCTAAGTCATGCGAGCCGTGACGCATTCACTTTTTTTTTGAGGACCCGGACGGCGGTGGGGTGCGTTTCACCATCACCACGGCTGTGGACCCGCTAATCCCCTTCCTCCCTCGCTGGATCATGCGCCTTGGACGCAGGCCAAAGGCATCTGAGGCACCTGACCCTGGCTGACGAAGGGAAACATCCTGCCAGCGGCGGGTTCTTCTTTTGACTATTTGGTTGGGTCCTTTGGACTGTGAACATTTTTTTCTTCGGGGAAACAAGTGGATTTCGTGGGGAACCTCTCATTCATAAATTTCTGGTCGATCAATCGGGCGAAGTTTTCTTTCGGGTCGGTTTGGTTGATCCGGGCCTTGGCCAAAAGGTCTGCACGTGCTCTCGGTTTTGCGACGGTGTTGCGGGTGTTGCGGGCTTTGGTTCTTGCAGTCGCACCCAGATGTCTCCAAGGCATTTTGTTTCCATTTCCCTCGCAAGGAGCCAATGGTTTGGTAGCTAAATGGGTCTCACTCACGGACGGGGGCCCCAAGAAAACTCGACTTTTAGGTTCTCGAAGACAAACGGGGGTTCCCTTTTCCTTTCCATCCCAAAAACCTCACCTCAAAGCCCGTTGAAACTGGGTGCCGACGGGCGGAGGGGAGCGAACCCAGGCCCGCCGTGCCCCAGCACCAAAAAGGAACCGGACCGTGGCCACCAGGGTGATTCGAACCACCCGGCTTTGTCACTGGATTTCCCCGGGTGGGGTGAGACGATTCTTTCCCCTCAAACCATGCTTCTCACTGGCATCCACAGCGAATCGACCTTTGGTTTGCCTGACTTGGTGCATTTTTAGTCATGGCCCCGAAAGGTGAACTGTGTTTCCTTCTTTTTCTTTTTTCTGGGTCCTTTGGGCAATTGAGTCCCGTGATTGAAATTGGTCAAAAGACACTCTTCCCTGAACGCTTCGGGAACACATCCAAGCAATCCTCATGCAAGCCTCTACCCTAGGGTGAAGACGTAGTAATTTGCGGGTGGACACCACATGGGACAAGCTCCATTCTCTGTTGCAACTTGGGTCAAAGGACGTTCAAACAGCCAGCGCCGAGCCTAACTTTCATATTTGGCTTAGAAGCGTTTGGAAAAAAAATCCCTTCCCCCCAAAGCAGGCTTTTACGTTTTTGGTTTCTCCTTAAATCCAAAGAAGACGGGTATTGGACATGGCAGAAGATGAATCCGGCTACGCTGGAGGATTCCATGTGGCGCTTTTTTTGGGGGTTCCCCTTTTGGGTTTGCATTGAAACCAAAGGACCACAGTTTGGGAAGCTTAATGGATCCCGGATACCCCTATAGAAAGGAACGAGCTATTTTCCTTTTGGTTTTGAAAGGGTGGTTTCTTGGTCACCTACTACATAGCGAAAGACCAGTTTCGGGTCGGATTCGAGACCAACCATTTTCGGGGCAGGATTGAGTTGGAATGATTGGGGGGTTCCCTCATTTTTGAGAGACTTCCATTTGGTTAAGAACATGTTTCATCTCCCCTTGTTGGCTCCACAGGGAATCTATCACTGGAAGAAATGCGTTCTCATTTGTTCCAGGCACCCCTCCTTCTTTTTTTCTCCTCCATTTTTTCCCGGAACCCAAGGACAGTTACACCATTTCTTGGGGGTCCAGTTCTGCTCAGACCACAAATGAGACAAGCGAGGAGTCTCATGGTCCCCGGGGAGTTTCGGCGCTGGGTGAACGCGGTGGAGCAACGCTGCCGGGAGCTCCAGAAGGCGCGGCGCGCCTTTTTCCGCTGGGCTCCGAGGTCCGCGTTTTCGGTGCGAAAACTGAACATGTTTGTTTTTGCCCCAGCCTCTTGAACATGATTAAGCCCACCCCCCTCCCCCTTAAGGTAGGGGGATCTATATATATGTATATATAGAGGTTGTTTTTTGTGAAATCGCTTTTATTTCAAATAACTATGGTGGGTTGCAGCAACAGAAGTGACATTCGGCAGTGCTAGGCTAGCTACGGTACACTTCCCGACGATTGGACAAGCTGGGTTGGGTTGGTTTTGTCACTCTCCGAGTTTGGTGGGTCCTGTGTGGTTGCTGTGGTCACGCCTTCTCATTTCCGGGCCAAGAGTAAGCACACACACACACACAAGAGGTGCTGAACTTTAGACACTTGTTGCGTTTGGGCAATGTGAGTATAAACAACAGTTTTGTGTTTGTTTCTTGCTAATAACGGGAAACAGATGATTTCAGGGTTTTCCAGCTTTCCCTACTTAGAGACAAGCCCTTTGCGATGCACGCATGAGCCACCCACACTTTGGCTGGATTCTACCGCTTTTGGCAAAAAGGGTTTTAATCCCCGCTTTTGGCAAAACCGACTTCTGCATTCCTTTTGTCCCATGGGTGTCTGAACATGTATCGTGGGTTGTTATTTCATAACGAGCAGGCCGATACGGAAAGTTTTTGTTTTTTTGCCTAGCGCTAACCCTGGCAGGCCTGGGTTGGTTGATTGGTTGGTTGGCTGGTTGGCTGGTTGGCTGGTTGGCTGGTTGGCTGGTTGGCTGGTTGGCTGGTTGGCGGGTCGTGGTGGCGGGTTGGTGGGCCCACCCTAAATTGTATTGAAATGCTGCCCTTTTATGCGTGCCAGGCTGACTGACCAGGCTGTGCCAGGGTTAGGCTAATGCCAGCCCCTCCGAAGGAACATAGGGACAGCTCTGGAGGTTTGTGCGAGCCCCTGAAATTTCTTCTGTGCGCTGATTGCCGGCGGCAAGCCAATTGAGGGCTGGTTGCTAGACCTTCAGCACCCAGTGCTTCCAATTACCACTATAGTAGGTGACCACTATAGTATGTTTCGGGTTGTCTATATGCGCTTGCCTGGAAGCACTGCGGTAGGAACGGACGCCGCCACTAGGCCAAAAAAAAACGCCTCAGCCGGATGGATGCTCGGTTCAATTCCTGGAACCAAGACGTGGTTGGGCGACCAAATTTAAAACAGTTTAGACCAGAGGTTGGCCCAGCCCTCTCGGACTTCATGTTCGTGTGGGTTTGACTTGGGGAGGGGCCATGTCAAGCAAAGCGCATGGGGCAAATGGTTGGTTTTCGCTCCGTTGGGGTTGCGTGCTGTTGAGGGTGCCTTGTTTTTTTTCTTCTTCTGTTTTTTTGGGGGGGCAAGCAATCCAAAGGCGCAAATGAACCAACTGAGTTATCCAACTGGATATCAATCGCGAACTTTGGACGGACAAAATCCTGCACCTGTTGGGATGGATGAAGCCCTCTGAAAACCGGGATAAATGGCTGAAATTCGATCTGGTTCTTGGCGCGGATTTTGTTCACTCACCGGACAAACATTTCCGAATTTGAGCGCACGTGTGAACAAATCCTTGGGTGCTGCCCTACTGTGGATGGGCGAACTCCTGCAACAAAACCATGCAAAACCATTGTTGCTTGGCATTTGCAGGGGAATCATCATTCCAGGACCCCTTGGGTGGTGCGAACTGGATTTCGCAAACATCCACAGTAGGTCCTAGGTGTCCTTTCGATAAAATCCTCTCTTTTTTTTGGACCTGGTTGATCAATCCAATCTAAAGTAGTGGAGCTCATTTGGCTGTGGCTCAAGAAACCGGTGCCAAAATGGAACCCTGGTAAGTGGAAACATTGACCAAAACCTGCGGTTTGCCCCTCCGACGGTTTAATTTTGAGCCACACCCATCTACCCTACCACCAACTACCCAAAGTGGCCCAAGTTGGTGCCCCATGGGATAAAGCCTCTGGTGGCCTTCGTTCCTCGTGCAGCGCCCCCTCTGAACCAAGCGGAAGTCGGGCAGAGGAGCAGCTGGCTCTGCCCAGTGCCGCGCTCTTTGTGGCGCTGGAGCAGCTGACCGCTCCAGCAGCGAGATGCAGTGGCAGTGGGGGGGAGGTTGCGGGGAGGTTGGGGGGTTGGTGCGTGTGTGTGTGTGTGTGTGTGTGTGTGTGTGTGTGCGTTTGCGCGTTTGTGTTTGCTTTGTTGTTTTATACAATATTCTTTTTTTTTCCCCGGGGGGGAGGGGTCCGGTGTGTGTACATATACGTGTCTATATTGCTTGTTTTTTTTTTGGGGGGGGGCGGGGTTGGGGGGTTGGGGGGTTGGGTAGAGAGTTTGGCGGGGGCTGGGCCGGCGGAGGACTTGAAGATGCGGTTCGTTGGGGAAATCTGCTTTCGCCCAAACTGGATTTCGGGCTTACATAGGATTTGGGTCACGTTTGGGTCAGGGTTTTGGTGTTTAGCTTTGAGCCAGTTGACGTGCCATTGGCCATTTCCCCGGGCCCTCACCGGAGAAAAGCGCTCGCCGGTATGGCACAGCTGGACAGCGACCATTTGGAGATACCTTCGGGGGATCTTCCCGAAAGTAAGGATACCCTCGGATGCCTCAACACATCCCACCAGAGGGCCCAGGCGGGGGTGGGGTAGTCAGGTAGTCAAGGCTTTTTTCAATCCCAGTTGTTGTCCCCAACGCGGTTACAGACTTCCTCACAGGCAGCCGCAAAATTCACAAGATCTCCCAGAGCAACTCTCAAAATGTGACGCTGGGTCGAGGTTCCGGGGATGTGATGTTTGCCATATGCCGAGACTAAGCAGCTGTAGCCCGATGCTCGTCTTTCCTTGAGCGGCCCAGAGCAAGGCCCTTCACTTCCAAGTCACTGCGCACAGACGTTCCCGGCCAAGCCAAGTTGATCCTTTCGGCGGGATGTTCTAGAAAACATGTTTCAACCAAACGGGAGGTGTTGCTGCTTTCCTATCATTTTCTTGCGAGTACACCAACCACGCCGAACCGGCAAACCAGTCAGTCAGGGGCACAAACCGTTTTCGAGCGCTGCCATGCAATACTGTTGGTGGACCAAATCCATTTCGCACCACTTTAAGACCATGGAAAACCATAACGTACGGTATTTGCAGGGAAAATCGAATCAGACACCGACCGGGTTTCTGAACGGTGGTGCGAGAAGCGGATTTCGCGCCCGCCCCATGCCTAGGTTTGCCGTCTCTTCGGCGCCTCACAGCTGGAGGCCGGGTGCTTGAGTGCTTGAGGCTAAAAATAATATGGTGACATGGGCTTAAGTCTCCAAGTCTGTGTGTATGTTTTTTTTTTTTTTTGGGGGGGGCTAACCCTATGGTTGAAAGCCATAAGAACACCCATATTTCGGGTCGGTGTTTGATTGGAAGCTTTCTAAGAACACCACCCCCCATTTGGTGGTCCAGCCCCCTCAAAAGGGCACATTGCAAATGGGCTTGGCTCAAAATGGGGGAGCTTTCAGGCATGAAAGGGTTCCCTGTGCAACTGCCAAAGGCGCGGCCGTTTCTGTGGGAATACCAATTTTTGGAGGGGTTTACGGAAATCAAGGAAGCCAGCCAACGACCTGTAGGCATCTCACAAATCAAAGAAACAAAAACAAAAGCACACACACACACACACACCCGCGCAGACAGTCTCAGTTGCCCAAAGCCAACCTTTTGACCTTTTGGTTTCTCCATGGTTGATCCATTTTGAGTCATGGCCCCAAAAGGTGATCACCTTTTGTTCTTGGGTCCCATCCGGGGCCACTGAGCAGTTGCCAAAGAGATGGACCGGGCTCGAGCAGCATTTTGACCAGGCGGAGATCAAGCCGCGCGCTGTCACCTTCAGTGAGTCGACGGAAGCCTTCCAGCAATTAAAGTCCTACCAGGGTTCCGTTTTGTGACTGCCTGGCAGACTTAAACCCAGGGGTGGGTTCAAAGGGAAAGCCTTCCCAGAAAGAAAGAGAAAAGAGCACCACTGGGCAACTGGGACAAAAATGGAGTGACAACCCCAAAGTCGACTTAAACCCAGGGGTGGTCGATCCTCCCAACAGCAACAGGGAAACGCCTGGGTTTAAGTCTACAGGTAGTCGAGAAAAGAACAGAACCCTGAGTGCTACAGTACGGCACAGATGGAGTGGTGCCCTTTCTCGGCCACTAAGATGGAGTGCTGGAAGAGTATGTTTCTCACAAAGCACGCCTTTGGTGGGTTCCATGTTAGTGGGCAGGAGGGTACCTACTTTTTGGCGGGAGAAACAGCAAGCTTCTCTCTTGCTGGTGGTGTTGATTTGGGCATGACATTTTGAGGGTAGCCTTTGCTGGGGTTGCGTGACAGGGAAGCCAAAGAGAAACTGTTGGGCCAACCCGCTTGGGCACGGGGTTCCTCAAGTCAGCGTGTTTTAGCCATGGCGTGCGCTCAAGGATGACCCCGGGGACAGCGACGGGGTGCTCGTGGCTTGGCTGCAGGGTTCCTGTCCCATTTCGCGGTGGCGCGCGCGCATTTTACCGAGCCCATTTTGATTCCTGGAGTGCGTTTTGGCGCAGTGGTCCATGTCTTTATTCCCCTGCTTTTTCGGAGTGCGTTTTGGCGCTCTGCTCACCGTTTTTTTTTAAAGGGGGGGGTTCCCATAGCCAGCCCATAGCCCCATAGCCCTGGCAAGTTTCCCATAGCCCCGAAGTACCCAGAAAGCGCCAAGCTCGCGCACGTCCCCAAAGTCCTGCGGCTAAGGCCCAGGCTTCGGCATCACCGCTAGGCGGGACCCGAAGGAAGGAAGCGAGGTGTAGCTGCGAGAGCAGTGCTAAAGGACCTGCGTGACAGCGCAAGAGAGAGAGAGAGAGAGAGACAGAGAGAGAAAAGGGGGAGAGAGAGAGAGAGCTAGAGCCAGAGCCAGAGCTGGAGCTGGAGCTAGAGCTAGAGCAGAGCTAGAGAGGGGGAGGAAGAGAGAGGGATTCTGCCCGGTTTCATTTTTTGCGATTTTTGCTGCTGGTTCATGGTTAGGCCAGGCGTTAGTCCAGCCAGGCAGCGATGAGTCCAGCCCAAAAGTGGAGGAGGTTGTGGTCAGCCCAGGCAAGCGCGACCGCACATTGGTTCGGACAGCCGCTTTTTGGTTGGGGGTGGGAAAGGGGATGGGAAGGGGGGGTGGGAAGGACGGGTGGGAGGGGGTGCTGGAAGGGCAAGAACCAAGAATGACTTGCTTTGCAAGGATTCTTGATGTCCTCAAAATCAGCCGGTGAAGGTGGTTTTTCAACTGGACATGTATCTTTCAAGTGCCTGTGCTTTTGGGAAGGTCTATGCTCTTTGGGTTCTTTCGCAGTTTTTGAGCTATAACATACGGCACATGTTCGCATATAGGATTGTTGCAGCAAATTCTAGCGTCCTCGTGGTTCCGAGCGCGCCCTTCAGGTTGCTCCTTTTGGGGCTGTGCAGCGGTCCAGTGAGCGCGTTTTTTCCATTTTGCCACGTGCCTCGCCCTGGAGACGGGCTTGTTTGATTGATTTTTCCCGCGAGGGACCGGCCCTTGGACCTTTAAGTTCGATACCGATGCTTTGGTTGAAAATAATTTGGGCAATCACCCCCCGACACAAGTCTTTTCATGTTCTTACAAGGGCTCTTCCTTGTTTGCCTGGGACTGAAAATGTTTCAGGTTTGGCTGTGGCGATCCATGCCTTTGGTGAAGAGCAGGAGAACGTGTGGCTGTTTCAGGGCGGGAAATGGCAGTGGCTCAAAATTAAAGAGCTAGGGGCACACCGCAGGTTTTGGTCCATGTTTCCACTTGCCAGGGCAACCCATTTTGGAATTCCGGTTTTTTGAGCCATGGCCATACCCAAATGAGCGCATACCCCGTCCAGCCGCTTTGGCTTGAAGTCGCCGCTGGCCGTGGGAGAGACGCCTCCAGGACCTGAAAATTCACGCCATGCCATGGGGCACAACCTATGGCGAGCCAATTTTAGGGGTAGATGAACATCCATTCGCCACCTATGTTGATGTTCACCAGAGGTTTCGTGGGTTTTGACCCAAAGCCACTTGTGTCTAGAGTGTTGAAAAGCCGAGGCCTGGAACGGGCTTGGCTGGTTTGCTTGCCGCTGAGAGGTCTGAAAGCCCTGTGGAGGTCTCAGGTGAACTTATGGATGGGGAAGGTGTGGGCATTCCGGATGTCTGTTTTTTTTTTCTTCTTTTTTTTTTTTTTTTTTTTTTTTCTCCTTGTCTTTCCTTCTTTTTACGGTAATTAATGCTCATTTTATCAGATGTGCCAATCACACGGCAAAGGTGTCTGGGGGGCCAGTGGGGGACCTCAGTGGAATCATCTCATCGCACCAAGCGACCGACGCTTGGGCAATACCCAATCTTTACGTCAGCTGAGCGGAAACCGCGCCAGCGATATTGCTTTTTTGTTTGTCTTTTTGGGGCGACTTGAGCCATGCTGAGGCATGAAGCGTGGCGCTCTCTTTTTTTCAGTTAGACCCCCGTTTCGGCGCCTTTCAAGGCCGCCCGGAGCCGCCTGGGCTTTGAGAAAAAGGCCTGCTCCAATGCGGCATCAGAACGGAGAGACCTCAGGGCAACCCATTTTTGGAACTCATTTCAGTCGGTCCGTTCCTCGCAACCAATTTCAAAGCTCATGTAGGTCCATCAGTGCCCGTTTTTTGGTTGGGAGGGTTCCCCTACTAAAATAGACGTCCTGAAAACAGTTGGTACCAACTTATTCTAACCTCTCCATGGGAGGACCTCGTTTCATCCTTCGCCCCTTTGGGCTCCAAGACGTGGCAAGCAGCCCAGGGCCTTCGCGATGGCCTTCTTGGCGTTGCAGGGGGGCGGGGTGCGCGCCTTCGCGTCGGATGCGGGGGTGCTGGCGGGGCTGGCCTGCGCGGCCAACAAAAGCGTGGCGGAGCTGGCTGGAGCCTTTGAGGCGCCGGGAGGGGCGGGGGGGGGGGGGGGGGGGGGGGGGGGGGGGGGGGGGGATGGGATGAGCGGTCCTGGATGAGGGGACGGGCAGACCGTTTGCTTGTTTATTTGTTTGGTTGTTTTTTCCCCAAACAGCGAAGCATTGGGGTTCTAACTTGAGGTATAGAGAATGGGAAAGTGTGACGCCGGTTCCGGGGTCCTGTTTTCCGCTTGTCTTCCTGTCTCCCAGTCTCTCCGGTTGCTGTAACGCTGACTCCAGGGTCGTGTCTCCCGCTTGTCTGCCAGATGCTGGGACGCTGGCTCCGGGTCGTGTCTCCCGCGCTTGTCTCCCTGTGTCTCGCAGTCTCTGCGATGCTGTGACGCTGGCTCCGGGGTCGTGTCTCTTGCTTGTCTCCCTCAGTTTCTGGCCAGATGCCGTGACGACGGCTCCGGGTCGTCTCCCGCTTGTCTCCCTGTGTCTTGCAGTCTCTGCATTCCGATGCCAGATGCTGTGACGCCGGCTCCCTGTGTCTCCCAGTCTCGTCTCCCTGTGTCTCCCAGTCTCTGCGGTCGGCTGTGACGTCTCCTTGTGTCTCGCAGTCTCTGCGATGCCGTGCCCGAGTCTCCCAGTCTCTGCGGTCGGATGCCAGATGCTGTGACGCGCTTGTCTCTCTGTGTGTGGCTGCCAGCTGCTGCAACGCTGGCTCCGGCGTCGTGTCTCCCGCTTGTCGCTTGTCTCCCAGTCTCTGGGGTCGGATGCCAGATGCTGTGACGCTGGCTCTGGGGTCGTGTCTCCCGCTTGTCTCCCTGTGTCTGGATGCTGGCTCTGGGGTCGTGTCTCCCGTTTGTCTCCCTGTGTCTCCCATCTCCCGCTTGTCTCCCTCTGCGGTCGGATGCGAGATGCTGTGATGCCGGCTCCGGGGTCGTGTCTCCCGCTATTGTCCCCCTGTATCTCCAGTCTCTGCGGTCAGATGCCAGATGTTGTGTCTCCCATGATGTGAGGCTCCGGGGCTTGTATCCCTGTGTGTGTCCCGCTTGTCTCCCTGTGTCTGACTGCGGTCAGATGCCAGATGCTGTGACGCCAGCTCCGGGGTCGTGTCTCCCACTTGTTTTCCCAGTCTCGTCAGTCTTTGCGGTCGGATGCCAGATGCTGTGACGCTGGATGTGACGCTGGCTCCGTAAACATGTCTCCGGCTTGTCGCTTGTCTCCCAGTCTCTGCGGTTGGATGCCAGATGCTGTGACGCTGGCTCCGGGGTCGTGTCTCCCGCTTGCTTCCCTGTGTCTTGCAGGCTCCGGGGTCGTGTCCCCCGCTTGTCTTCCTGTGTCTCCCAGTTTTCTGTAATCAGAGACCAGATGCTGCGAGGCCGGCGCTGGTCTCTCTGTGTCTGCATGCCAGATGCTGTGACGCTGGCTCCGGGGTCGTGTCTCCCGTCGCCCGCTTGTCTCCCTGTGTTTTTGCGGTCGGATGCCAGCTGCTGTGACGCCGGCTGCGGGGTCGTGTCTCCCGCTTGCCTGAGTCTCCACTCTTTGCGGTCAGATGCCAGATGCTGTGACGCTGGCTCCGGGGCCGTCTCCCGCTTCTCTCCCTGTGTCTCCCGGTAAAGGAGGGTCCCGGGCAAAACCAGCTGAAGCTGCTTCTTCTTTGCAAGTTTTGGGGCTGACCTTTCTTGCAGCCCTCAACAGGAAAAATGAAGGTCCCGGGCACTTTTTCAGTTTTGAGGCTGACCTGGCTTGCTTGGCATCCAGTAACTGGCGTTCGGCTTTCTTCGGCTCCCTTCGGCTCCCTTCGGCTCCCTTCGGCTCCCTTCGGCTCCCTTTGGCAGCACGCGGCAGCAGCGCGCAAGCGCAATAATGCAGTCCAGCTAGAAACATCGATTCGAAGCGAACGACTTGCAAAAATGTTTAGCAATGGGGAAAGGGCATGTCGCAGATTTTGCTGTTAGCCTGTGTGCAAAGGATGTGCCTCTCTCTTGGCCAAGCGCAGGTTTGCATCCTTGTGGGTCGAGCCTTAAATATCTATTTTCTCGATAAACAACAAATCGTGACATCCGGCTGATTGCTTTTCTCAGAAAACTGAGCTGCTTTTTAGAAGCCGCACTTCTTGGCCAAGCGCAGGTTTGCATCCTTGTGGCGCACCAGCAGGGCCCTATCAAGCCTTAAATGTGTCTATGTTTCTCGATAAAAAACATATACTGTGACATCCGGCTGATTGCTTTGCTCGGGACACTGAGCTGCTTTTTGGAAGCCAGTGCCGCACTTTTTGGCCAAGGCGCATCAGCAGAGCCCTGTCGAGCCTTAAATATGTAGATTGTTTTCGGTAGACAAATACCGTGACATCCGGCTGATACGGAGCTGCTTTGTGGGAGCCAGCGCCGCACTTCTTGGCCAACTGCAGGTTTGCATCCTTGTGGCGCATCAGCAGAGCCCTCCATTTTGTTCTATAAACAAATTTACCGTGACATCCGCCTGATTGCTTTGCTCAAGATTCTGAGCTGCTTTTCGGAAGCCAGTGCTTCTGGCGCATCAGCAGAGCCCCGTCAAGCCTTGAATATGTACTCTTGACATCCGCCTGAGCTGCTTTTTTGAAGCCAGTGGCGCACTTCTTGGCTAACTGCACGTTTGCATCGTTGTGGCACATCCCCAGCCCTGTCGAGCCTTTAATGTATCTGCTTTCTCGATCTGATTGCTTTGATCAGGAGACTGAGCTGCTTTTTGGAGCCAGTGCCGCGCTTCTTCGTCACGTGCAGGTTTGCATCCTTGCGGCGCATCAGAAGAGCCCAGCCTTCACTGACTCGACAGCGGAGACACACTAAGCGCTGTCGGACTTCTGGCGGGGACAAGGTGTAAAAAGCGGTTTCTTGACATGTTTTCCTGTTGGCCTTTTTCCGGTTGGTGCCTTCTAACATCTTCTAACAAGAAAATCGCTTGGATCCTGAAAGCATGTGTGGAGTTGACCAGATTGGGCTGGCATTTGCGAGTGCTGGCCATGAACGCAGGTGCGCAGGTGGACAAGTGGCAAACAATTGAGGGTTTCGGGGATAAACACAAAGCATTTAGCTTGGACTTTTGCAGCGCTGTGATGATGAGGGTGGATGAGGGTCAGGATGACGAGGATGAGGAGGTGAGGAGGATGGTGATGAGGAGAAGGAGGCTGATGATGAGTGTGATGGCGATGAGCCACAGAGAAGTCGACGGTTTCGTTGACAGTTTTGCTCCGAGTCAGCAAACCCTTGGAATGGAGAAGGGGCACGGCTCCACTAAGCATTTGACCAGCGAAGCAACTAGACGGCTTGCGCGGATCAGACACCATCTTAGCCAAAATCGTATGAAGCGGGGGAGGGGGGCTCTAGGCGACTGATGCTGCTAGGGATGCAGGAGCGCTGCAGGAAAGACCTCCAGCATGACACCAGCAAGTTGCGCAAGCAAGTTGCGTTGGCAAGTGGCACTAGCGCTAGCAAAATGCCACTAGCAAAACGGCGCAAGCCAGTAGCACGAGCAAGATAGCGCTAGCGAGATGCACGAGCCAGTAGCGCTAGCCAGTGGCGCTAGCAAGTAGCGCCAGCAAGTGGCACTAGCAAGTAGCAGTAGTGAGTTGCACTAGGAAGTTGTAGTGTGTTGCGGCAGAGAGCTGCTCAGACAACTTGTTCATTGAAACTTGTTCAGAGAAACTTGCTCTGAGAACTTGCTCAGACAATTTGTGCCAAGAACTTGCTTGGAGAACTTGCTTGCTCAGAGGAACTTGCGCAGAGAACTGGCTAGGATTACTTGGCGCCGCGCACTGCTCATGCTTTCGGGCCACCCATCTTCTAGTTTCCTCTTGGTAGCATCACTGTAGTTCGAGCACCCTTTCTTGTTGGCAGTGCTGTTTTAAACCTCGCCTCCTATCTTGTTGCCAGTATTTAACACCTTCTCAGTTGGATATCCAGTCTTTCGCTTGGCTAGCTGGTCTGCGACGCTTTTTCCTCTTCGCAACCTATGTAATCCAGTCCCACTGACAAACGCATTTTGCTGAAGCATTTTACACCTTCGTGGTGCCAAGGTCGCGGCTTTGACGTATCTCGTTGCCTCCTGACAGAAGGGTTGAAGACAGATTTTCAGCCTTGTTTTCCACATATTCTGCTGTTTTGCACGTGTCCGAAAGTGCTCAGGGCTTGCAAGTGCAAGGGCTCAAGGGTTTTCATGATGAGACTGCCATTATCATTCTCTGAGGTGCTAGCTTCCCTACAGTCTCTGGACCCATGGAACACCAAAGGGGTTCAACGTGAGCTGTATTGCATGGCGCTTGTGCTAGCCTCCCGCAGTGAGTATTTTTGGAAATCCGAGCAATTGCATTTATTCTCTCAGCATACGTGGCTTGTCGGGAATCCAAGCTGGAGGGATGTGCTGATAGCATCAAGACCATCGCTCACCGAAACAACACGTGCTGAGACATGGCCCATCCAATTCTTCTTTGACGACACAGCTTCGCCTCCACTACGCCTTGAACATAAAGGTTTCGGCGCTGCTGGACACTCTGCGTACGTGGCGAACTCCCCAGCAACATTACGGAATGGCGGCTCTGGTGCTCAATGTGGTAATTGCAACACACGGTCATGGCCATGTTTCGACACATGTTCGGTGGCTGTATAATCAAATAAGAGTTGCTAACGCCGCAGTCTGCAAGTTTTGCAAGTTCTCTCTTGCTTTGCTTGTGGCAAGACCTCTAGTCGAGCTCGAGAAGAAGATAGCAACCCGAAGTGGCATGTGCCCAGTCTCGGCCACAAGCTGCTGAGACTGATGCGCAAGTTTCAGCAGAGTAGCGAGACGGCCACTAAATGCTGCGGTGATGGAAAAGTGCATTGAGTGTCCGTACTACGGAAGTTACTTCGAAACTTCCTTTCATTAATGCCAGGTGTTAGGTTGATTCACCCCGAATCCCTGGGGCCTTCACTCTCGAACATGGCATTGACATGGCGCTTTCCTTGATACAACATCGATGCTTTTACCCGGCGTGAAGGAGATGGATGGACCCGATGTGTCCTCTTCCCAAAAAAGGGGACTTCCTACAGGGACATACATAGACTGATTGTAACTATGTGAGCCACGGACAAAACACACGAAGACCACTTTATCAAGGCGGGGTACGTTTTTGCATAACACATGCCAAAACCATGCAAAACGATAAGGTCTCCCCCAAAAACGATAACCCTTAGCTAACACACGGCTCTATAACACCCCCTGCAGTTGCAACTTAGCTAGAATGGGACCCTTGCGTGACCGCCGTAAAACAAGAAGGCGAGTCGCCACTTTCGAGCTGGAGCTGCCAAGGTGTGCTTCGTAAATACGACACTTGTACTGAGAAGTTGCGATTTTCGAGCTGGAGCTGCGGAAGTATACTTCGCGTACTAGACTTGCACGACAAAGTTGCGATTTTCGAGCTGGAGCTGCGGAAGTGTACTTCTCGTACTAGACTTGTACTATAAAGTTGCGATTTTCGAGCTGGAGCGCTGCGGAAGTGTACTTCGCGTACTAGACTTGTACTACAAAGTGTCGATTTTCGAGCTGGAGCTGCGGAAGCGTACTTCCCGTACTAGACTTGTGCTACAAAGTTGCGATTTTCGAGCTGGAGCTGCGGAAGTGTACTTCTCGTACTAGACTTGTACTACAAAGTTTCCATTTTCGAGCTGGAGCGCTGTGGAAGTGTACTTTGCGTACTAGACTTGTACTACAAAATTGCGATTTTCGAGCTGGAGATGCGGAAGTGTACTTCGTGTACTAGACTTGTACTACAAAGTTGCGATTTTCGAGATGGAGCTGCGGAAGTGTACTTTGCGTACTAGACTTGTACTACAAAGTTGCGGTTTTCGAGCTGGAGCTGCGGAAGTGTACTTCGTGTACTAGACTTGTACTACAAAGTTGCGATTTCGAGCTGGAGCTGCGGAAGTGTACTTCGCTTCAAAGTTGCGATTTTCGAGCTGGAGCTGAGGAAGTGTACTTCGCGTACTAGACTTGTGCTACAAAGTTGCGATTTTCGAGCGGGAGATGCGCAAGTGTACTTCACGTACTAGACTTGTACTACAAAGTTGCGATTTTCGAGCTGGAGCTGTGGAAGTGTACTTCCTGTACTAGACTTGTACTACAAAGTTGCGATTTTCGAGCTGGAGCTGCGGAAGTGTACTTCGCGTACTAGACTACAAAGTTTCGATTTTCGAGCTGGAGCTGCGGAAGTGTACTTCGCGTACTAGACTTGTACTACAAAGTTGCGATTTTCAAGCTGAAGATGCGGAAGTGTACTTCGCGTACTAGACTTGTACTACAAAGTTGCGATTTTCGAGCTGGAGCTGCGGAAGTGTACTTCGCGGAAGTGTACTTCGCGTACTAGACTTGTACTACAGAGTTGCGATTCTCGAGCTGGAGGGCTGTGGAAGTGTACTTCCTGTACTAGACTTTTACTACAAAGTTGCGATTTTCGAGCTGGAGCTGCGGAAGTTTACTTCGCGTACTACACTTGTACTACAAAGTTGCGATGTTCGAGCTGGAATTCCGGAAGTGTACACTAGACTTGTACTACAAAGTTGCGATTTTCGAGCGGGAGATGCGCAAGTGTACTTCGCGTACTAGACTTGTACTACAAAATTGCGATTTTCGAGCTGGAGCTGCAGAAGTGTACTTCGTGTACTAGACTTGCACGACAAATTTGCGATTTTCGAGCTGGAGCTGCGGAAGTGTACTTTGGAGATGCGGAAGTGTACTTTGTGTACTAGACTTGTACTACAAAGTTGCGATTTTCGAGCTGGAGCTGCGGAAGTGTACTTCGCTTACTAGACTTGTACTACAAAGTTGCGATTTTTTGGAGCTGGAGCTGAGGAAGTGTACTTCGCGTACTAGACTTGTGCTACAAAGTTGCGAGATGCGGAAGTGTACTTCGCGTACTAGACTTGTACTACAAAGTTGCGATTTTCGAGCTGGAGATGTGGAAGTGTACTTCGCTTACTAGACTTGTACTACAAAGTTGCGATTTTCGAGCTGGAGCTGCGGAAGTGTACTTCGCGTACTAGACTTGTACTACAAAGTGTCGATTTTCGAGCTGGAGATGCGGAAGTGTATTTCGCGTACTAGACTACAAAGTTTCGATTTTCGAGCTGGAGCTGCGGAAGCGTACTTCGCGTACTAGACTTGTACTACAAAGTTGCGATTTTCGAGCTGAAGATGCGGAAGTGTACTTCGCGTACTAGACTTGTACTACAAAGTTCCGATTTTCGAGCTGGAGCTGCGGAAGTGTACTTCGCTTACTAGACTTGTACTACAAAGTTGCGATTTTCGAGCTGGAGCTGCGGAAGCTTACTTCGCGTACTAGACTTGTACTACAAAGTTGCGATGTTCGAGCTGGAATTCCGGAAGTGTACTTCCTGTACTAGACTTGTACTACAAAGTTGCGATTTTCGAGCTGGAGCTGCGGAAGCTTACTTCGCGTACTAGACTTGTACTACAAAATTGCGATGTTCGAGCTGGAGCTGTGGAAGTGTACTTCCTGTACTAGACTTGTACTACAAAGTTGCGATTTTCGAGCTGGAGCGCTGTGGAAGTGTACTTCCTGTACTAGACTTGTGCTACAAAGTTGCGATTTTCGAGCTGGAGCTGCGGAAGTGTACTTCGCTTACTAGACTTGTAATACAAAGTTGCGATTTTCGAGCTGGAGCTGCGGAAGTGTACTTTGCGTACTAGACTTGTACTACAAAATTGTGATTTTCGAGCTGGAGCTGCAGAAGTGTACTTCGTACACTAGACTTGTACTACAAAGTTGCGATTTTCGAGCTGGAGCTGCGGAAGTGTACTTTGCGTACTAGACTTGTACTATAAAGTTGCGATTTTCGAGCTGGAGCTGCGGAAGTGTACTTTGCTACTAGACTTGTACTACAAAGTTGCGATTTTCGAGCTGAAGATGCGGAAGTGTACTTCGCGTACTAGACTTGTGCTACAAAGTTGCGAGATGCGGAAGTGTACTTCGCGTACTAGACTTGTACTACAAAGTAGTTGCGATTTTCGAGCTGGAGATGTGGAAGTGTACTTCGCTTACTAGACTTGTACTACAAAGTTGCGATTTTCGAGCTGGAGCTGCGGAAGCTTACTTCGCGTATTAGACTTGTACTACAAAATTGCGATGTTCGAGCTGGAGCTGTGGAAGTGTACTTCCTGTACTAGACTTGTACTACAAAGTTGCGATTTTCGAGCTGGAGCGCTGTGGAAGTGTACTTCCTGTACTAGACTTGTGCTACAAAGTTGCGATTTTCGAGCTGGAGCTGCGGAAGTGTACTTCGCTTACTAGACTTGTAATACAAAGTTGCGATTTTCGAGCTGGAGCTGCGGAAGTGTACTTCGCGTACTAGACTTGTACTACAAAATTGTGATTTTCGAGCTGGAGCTGCAGAAGTGTACTTCGTACACTAGACTTGCACGACAAATTTGCGATTTTCGAGCTGGAGCTGCGGAAGTGTACTTTGCGTACTAGACTTGTACTACAAAGTTGCGATGTTCGAGCTGGAATTCCGGAAGTGTACTTCGCTACTAGACTTGTACTACAAAGTTGCCATTTTCGAGCTGGAGATGCGGAAGTGTACTTCTCGTACTAGACTTGTACTACAAAGTTGTGATTTTCGAGCTGGAGATGCGGAGGTGCACTTCGCGTACTAGACTTGTACAACAAAGTTGCGATTTTCGAGCCGGATCTGCCAAAGATCGAAAACACTGTAAAACGATAAGGTCTCCCCCAAAAACGATAACGTTCAAAAAAGTACTAGGGCCAAGTAAAGTGTTTCGTCCGCTCCTCATGTGTTGCTCACAGAAGCTACTCAATTTCGCACCTTACATGAAGGAGACAAGCCTTTTTGGGTTATGCAGACCTGTCATGCTTTTTTGCTGTTTGTTTGTTTGTTTGTTTGTTTGTTTGTTTGTTTGTTTGTTTGCTTGCTTGCTTGCTTGTTTCAAATCCCCAACGTAAATACCAAGTGGTGCGAAACGGACTTCGCAACCATCCGCAGCATCTCATTCCCGGAAACCAACTCGGGGATTGTTTGTTCATTCCACAACATTCCACAAGGAAACCATAAGTCGTTTCCACAAGAAGGAAACCATAGGAAACCACTGGAAGGATGGTGGTTTTACATCGAGGTCAGACTCCATTTGGGTATGGGTCAAAATTAAACCACCAGTGGACCGCAGGTTTTGGTCCCTGTTTCCACTTACCAGGGCAACCCATTTTGGGTACATATTTCTTGACCCGCAGCCATTTCTCAATCCCTGCCCATCGAGCGCCTCAGAAACTCCACCAGGCCACCTCCAGCGTCAGTGGCTCCTCCTGGTTCGCGGCGGAGCTCTTCTATTCCCCGAGCTTCGCGGAGCTCATGGCAGGCCAAAAGGGGGGGGGGTTGGGGGGGTTTCTGGGTGGGGGCCTGGGGGTTGGGTGGGGGGAGGGGTAGGAGGGGCGTGTCCCGTGAGGATTTTCACTCGGGTTCCGCTACGTTTGTGGCGATCGTTTCAATGGGACCTGCCAGCAAATTGATCTTTTGAGAGTGTGAAAGGGAATGCCTTCTTTTCGGCTTTCTTTGTTGGCAGGGTCTCAGGGCATTTTCTCAGCCTGGCCTTCTGCTTGGAAAGAGAACTTTTCAAGGCGACCCGGAAACTTGGGGTTGGCTTATCAGAACTCAGGTGAGGAGCCCAGGGTTTCCCTTAAAGGAAACCCATTGGGGGATTCTTTTTTTGGGGTCGTCCCATTTCTCATTCCCTTATCGAGCCGGCAAGTCGTCCGCACAGGTGTTTTTTGTGGTCGATTTCGTGCAAAATAGGTTGGGCGATTCCTGGTTTGCCTGGTGGTTCAATCACCTGCCATCTATTTTTGAACCAAAAAGCATAGCCATGGTTGTCCTGGCTGGTTGGGAGCGAGGCATGGCGGCGTCCCCTTCCACTGCCGCCGCGCAGTTCCAAGAGAACTGGATCCAGCCCTGGCTGCGAGCAACACAGGTCTCGCAGCCCACGCGCCTCGAGCGGAGAACTCCTTGGTTCTAGAGGTGGATTTTTCAAAAACCAGCAATTTCCCCTGGGTTTCTGGTGGTTTTCTCTCGAAAGATTCGGATCCCTGGGTTCAGAATGGAAATGGAAGGTACCCCTAGAGTTGTGTTTTTCTTGGTTTTTGGCGCGCAGAAGCCGGAATCTCACCTCCGGAGGTGAACTTTAGTCCTTTTTTTTGTTTAGTTCTTGGACCTCGCTTTTTTTGTTTTGTTTTGTTTTTGTTTGTGGGCGTTTCGGTAAGTTCTCCTTTTCCATGTATGCAGGGGATAGTGAATGAGAGTCTTGGAAAGAGAAAGAGACAAGCCAGATCCTATATCCTGTCTATCATTTCACTTTCTATGGATCTACCTCTCATGACTGGAAGGAGATGCAAAACTGAAAAGGTGACCATCATAATTCCAGTAAAAACTCAGAGCCGGCTGCCTGCAGGGTAGCCCTGTCCTATGGGATAGCCGTTTGGGGTTACCATTCTAGTGGTAAACAAGACAGTCTGGTGACTTTTTTTGGCCAGCCCGCTCAGGTGGGTGAATGCTTTGCCTTGGCTGAAGCAGTCGAAAATCGGAAATGGGGCCAGATGTACCTTTGGATAGTGTGGACACGATGGATTTCAAAGACACTGCAAGGAAAGCAGCCGCAAGCTCATGTAAACCAGCCGCAAGCCCATGGCTCTCAAGTTGGGCTGGAGAAAGCGCAAGACGGGGATGAACCACCTGGGTCGAATCGGACTTTCACGGTGTCACCCCCATGGTGGGCCTTCGGGTGGAGCTGGGGGAAAGGTGTTGCACGTCTGGAAGCAAGACCACTTTGCGGGACTGCTCAATCCTTTAAGACCGCCTTGTTGACAATGAAAGCTGATAAGAAAAACACAGACTGGAAGCCAGGAGTTTGCGCAGGGCGGTCAGCCATCGACTAGCTAAGTGCGTTGCATCCTTTCTGGCATGGTTGCAGAGGTTGGGGCATGGGCTGCGTTTTGTGCTGGGGCCCAGGATCGGCACTTGTTGGATGCATTGAATATCACCTCTTGGGATCATTGAACATGAGTCTCCTTGCGCTGGGGTACCTTGAATCAAGCGGACAACGCACAAACGCCTATTGCTTTAATAACCTCCTTTTGACTGCCCTGTAAAGGGGTCGTTATTTAAACAGTAATGCTTGCACCAACCCGGTTCGACTGGCTCAGCGAAGAGCCTGAGTTCCGGGTACTCACCCTCCTTTTTTCTCAGAAGAGGGGTAGTGAAGTGCTCCCACACCATTTGAAGACTGTACAGCAGACAGAGCCCTGAGCTGTTTGACTGGGTGTTTTCCTTCCAAGGTTCGACGGCTTGCAGAGCATTGTGCGGCTTTTGGTCCGCCTGCTCCTGGGAACTGGGGACGAGGACTGGTAAGGTGATGTGACAATCTTGGTTTCCATGGTCCAAAGCTGGGCGCGGGTTTTCATGTGGCTGTGGTTGTCAAAACCGTTTTGGTACCATTTTAGGGGTTTTCGGTGCACCACCCAAATTTTGTCTGTTTTAGTGGGGATTGGGATGTTCACTGGGGGTACGGGCTTTTCACCCATGGCCATGTGGGTATGAGTCAATGTTTTACCACGGGTTTTCGTCCATTCCATTTGCCACACTTCCATTTTGGGTGCCGATTTTTGATCCGCAGCCGCGCTTGACCACGAAAGAGTGCGGCCTTGTCTCATGAAGTCATGAGTGGTTGATTGGCGGGGGTTCGCAGCAAACATTTGCCTTGCACGCACTTTAGGAAGTCTGAAGCTGCCTTGAGCGGGTCCTACCGCTCCTTCAATACATCGTCATTGCCTGTCCGGCTGCTCTTTTTTTTGGAAAGAGGTTGTAACCCAATCACACCTGGCAGCAGTCCCCTAACTTGAACACGGGAGAAACTGGCGATTGTCCCCTTACCATGAAGTGCTCCAACTGATTGGTTTTCATTTGAATGTACGTTCACAAATAACCTGTTTCAACCTGAGGTTGGGTGGTGAAGGAAAAGCTCAAACACAACCTCAACAACGCCAGCAAAAAGGGTGCGGTGCCTCACAAATTGCTCACACTGTCCCACATGTGTGTGTGTGTGTGTGTGTGTTTTTGCATGGGGACATCCCCAAAATGGTTGTCTTCCTGTTGGGTTCCCTTTAAACACCACAAGAGATGGTTTCCCCCCAAAACAAAACAATAATCGAACCAAACTAAACAAAAAGAATCAAGGGAGACGAGCTTTCCCTTTAAGCAAATGGCTCCCCTCCCCCACACAAGCAAAAGAAAAGACAAAAAAAACACACAAAACAACAAACACACAACAAGCAAAAACAACAGGACATAGCAACAACAGGGCCGAGCCACCCACATCACACCCGTCCATAGCCCTCCCCCTCCCAAACGAAAAGGCGAGCCCCGCCAATACTCTACTGCTATTGGGTTGGATCTTTAGACTTTAACTTTTGGATACCCCTCATATTTCCTTTCAACCTGCAAAAAGTCAAACTTTGCTCTCTCAACCCCACGTGCGGAAACACAGCTAAAGCTTCTTGCTGGGGGACCTACGGCACCCGAGCATAGGACACCATCTTCATCGCCCAGTTCTTCCTGGCGTCCGGGCTCACCTGGACCCACTTCGTGGAGGTGCTGCTGAACAGCACCGCGGCGATCCCCAAGCAGCTGCCGCGCCTCTGGCAGCAAGGGGGCTGTCCGGGAGTAAAAGGCCCCATGGTGAAAGAAACCGCTCAAAGGGGTTTGTGTCCTCTTCTTCTTTCTATTTTTTTTTTGGGGGGGGAGGGGTGCAGGGTTTGTTCTCTCTATTTTTTGAGGGCACATTTTTCTGTTGTTTCCTTTTGGTGGAAACATGGATGAATTCCGGGGCCATCTATTTCCTCAAAAGGACACCTAGGGGGCTTGCTTCCTTTTTTGAGGGCACTTTTCTCTCTCTCTCTCTCTCTTTTTTTTTGGGGGGGGGGAGGTTAAGCCGGTTTCGCGGTTTGCTTCCATTTTCGAGGGCGCCGTTTTTTTGTTTTGTTTGGGGGGGGGTTTAAGCCCAGACCCTCCGGCCCAAACATTTAAACGGAGGCCATGAGATCACGCGCGTTTCGAAATGGTTTGAAAGGGAAAAGGAAACCGCCCACCCGGAGGGGTCCCCCAGTTCTGCGAAACACTCAAGCGGGGTTGCGTGCTGTTGAGTGTGCACTTTTTTTTTGGGGGGGTTGGCTTTAAGCGGAAACCAATAGGACAACTATCCATTTTTGTGGCCGCCCCAAAAAATGACACCCGAACATGTGTTGTGTGTTTTCCCCAGCAGCTGAAAGCTCAGGCGATAGGCCGAGATAGACTCCCTTTGGAGTTGTTCGGGCCAGCTTTCGAGGGCAAGTCTGGTTTGTAGCCTTCAAGTGGAACCACAAGGAAAGCCATTTTGGGGTTCCCGGAAAAGACATACCCAAATGGGGTTGTCCCAAAAACAGGGGAACCTCCCGAAATTGTGGTTGCCTTTGGGTTTCCATACGGAACGCCAACCAAGGGTTTCCTCAAGAAACGGCCTATTTCTATTGCCCTCCCTTGGTTTCCTTCCGTAAAACCGGCGCATGGGTTTGGCTCCTCTTTCGAGGAGTTTCTTGCGTGGTTTTAAAGGGACACCAAAAGGACCATCCACAGTTTTGGGGGTGCACTAAGAAAGACACACCCATATCGCCGCCGAGTTTCATTTCTTCTCCAGTGGAAGCCTTTTGAAGGTAAGGCTGAATCAACCAGGGGCCTTTGTGCAGTGGATACGCCCGTAGATATCACCAATCACACATAAGCTCACATGAGTCAGAGCTACGGATGGACGCGCTCCTGCACCACCTAAGAACCCCTGGAATGATGATTCCGCTGTAAATGCCCGCACACATTGTTTTCCCATGGTTTCAAAGTGGTGCGAGAAGCGGATTTCGTCCATCGTATGGCAAGATCCAGGGCCAGTGACGTTTTTCTTCAGCGACTGAGGGCAAGGGTCAAGGGATTCGAATCCACAGACTGATGGCTGGGTGTTGCAAGTGCAACAGTGGGGGTAGCGGTTTCCAGCACATGTTTTTTCTCCGTGTTTCTCCACATTCCACTCTGTTTGAACTTTTGAGGTTCCTTAAGTATGGACCAGAATCCGGCAATGTCGTCTTGGTTTGGCAAAAGTCAAACGCTGAGGGGCACTGCCGCACCACAGCTTGAGAAGTCGTTTTTTCACGGCCAGGAAGCCGCAAGGGTGGATCCGAACTAAGCGACACACGGTTGGACAGGTGGTGGGAATTTTGGGGGCTTCACTGAAAAGGGCAGCACCGAACGTTGAAGTTTTTTCAGGATGCCCAACTTTGGTACCTTGGGAGAAGGGCTTCTCTGGACTGCGTGGACAGCTTTCAAAACGAGCGCTCGTTGCCGGTGTGGGTTCTGGATGGGGCCCCCACGTTTCTCGGCGCCTTTCGGACTCCCCCACTTTTGAAAAGAAACGGAGTTTCTGGGTTGATCTTGGACCCCCACATATTGTGAGGTCCAAGAAGCCACGCGCTTCTTGGGCTCTGCGGCCTCCACTCTGCCCCCCCCCCCCCCCCCCCCCCCGGTCCCCGCGGCGGAGGCTGGGGGCGGAGCCCACCATGGCCCAAGGCCGCCACTGGCTGGTGGACCACTCCCTGCTGCTGCCGGTCGCCAACCCCGCGGCCGTGTACCGAGGCGAGGGGGCTTTCTTCGATTTCATACACACATACACACACACACACACATATATATATATATATATATATATTCAAACAAGCTCGCTGTTGGTTTCAATTGTGTTTTTTAACCATTGGTTTTAATCTTTCCAGGGGACGAAAAAGCAAATAACAGTTTTTGGGTCGGAGAAGGAGCGCGGACGGCGGAAGGTGGAAGGTGGGCTTTTGGCGTGCGAAAAAGGTGGAAAAGAAAGAGGAGGGACCCGGCTGCAACGAGTTTACCCTTGGGTCTCTTCCTGCATCACCTGTTTGGTTGGCCATTTTGTACTTTGCGATTGTCGTTTTGCCGCTTTTGGGTGAAAAGCGGTATGAGGCGGCTTAAGGGTTGGAAGGGCTGGAAGGGGGAATTGGGATGCAAGCCCTCCACTCCCCTACTCATTTCCCGCAAGCAGGGCCTGACTATCGTTTTAATTTGGAAGGGAGGGGTGGATTCCAATGAGTGCTTTTGCAAATGACACCATTTCCAAAACCAGTCTCTTCTGTGGCCCGCTGAGATAGCTCGGCGAAAGCCCAACCCCCCCCCCAACAGCAAGGAAGTTTGGGGCGGGCTGGAAGTTGGCTTTGAGCGGGAGCATTTCAGGCATTTGAAGCGAGTGCCGGGGCATCCCTTGTGGGAAGTGAGCGTCTTTGCCTGACCCCATTGGCCCTCACATAAACCCGAATGCCTATGTCACGAAAGCACTGCTGGAGTTGTCCTACCTAAGCTATGCTTAGCAATCCTGGGGTGTGAGCCAATTCTTGTTGCAAACTCGCAATGCCAATGCAGGTTTTCGGAGGTTCCTCAGCAGGCTTGCTGGCATTGGTTCCCGCCCTAGCTCGCTCACGTTCGAAGCACCAAGTACTGGCCCGGGTGCCAGGAGAGCCACAATCAAACCCCGGGTCGATGAAGCTTTGTCAGGGCCGATCCCAGCCAGAAATAGCTGCGGATATCCTGCAAGCTGGTCAATTGTTTTGGGAAGCTTTTTCCGAAGTTGGTTTTTCACTTTGTGTTGCAAGCAGCCTTCTGAATTCCTGACGCCTGGTTCTGGGTCGACCATTTTTCTACCGATCGGTTTTGATTTTGGCTCCAGGAGGCCTGGGCCTCTTCCGCACGTCCTACTCGGCGACGACGAAGAACGGGGAGCTGCCGGTGTTCCTGCCGGCCAAGTTCAGCGTCGCGCTGGGCGCAGGCGCTGGTGGCGCTCGCGCCGAGGGTATCGGTGGTGGAGCAGGGGGGTTTTGGCGATGGGGTGGGGGTTTGGGGGGGGGTTTGGGGTCTTGAGGGTATGGCCAATTTGCTCCGCGTTCCGTGCGTCGGCTTTGCCCGTGAAGCCGTGCAGCCAGGCAGTTTGTGCGCTATCGCTTGCGCCTTGATCCGTGAAATGCTGCCCTACAGGCAACCACGGAACCGAAAGGGCCCCTGGCCAGGGCTCCATTTTCTGGCACGAGGGCGCTGCGTCCAGGTCTCATGTGTTTTCGGAGAGTAGAATTTTCCGGAACGGTGAACAACTTGTTTAGGGCCAACCCCACCCCCCAGCCAGCTTTCGAGAAGCATATTCTATTTGGTGGGGAATTGGGCTGGGAGTTTAGTTTCTCTGAGGTGTTCAGGGAATCACAAATCCGCCCATGGGATGGCGCTGGTCCATGACCACATCCCAGTGGGACGAATGAGACAAGCGCGCGCCTTCTGCAAGCGGGTGCAACTGGCGTCGGTTGCCATGCCCTCGGGCCCTCGGGCCCTCAGCATTTCCAGCGCCGCTTGGACGGACTGTGCTGGGTACCTGCCAGCTCCGAACTTGTTTCACCATGCACAGTTTCCTAAGGTTGGCGCATTGCAGGAAGTTCCTTGGTGCGGTGCTCCGGATTGAATCAGTGAGTGTGTTCTTTTGAATGATCCGGATCCCCTCGACATGGGTAGGGGTCAAACCTCAGCCAACAGGGGACCGCAGGTTTTAGTCCCCAACCCCGTCTTGTTACCCCAATTTTTGACCCATAGAGAAAAGATGAGACCCCCCCCTCCTTCAGGATCAAGTGGCTTCCGAACTCGACTGAAAGCCGCACGAGCCCGGGTTTGGTCCAGCTGAGGTTCCAAAAGGTTCGAAGCCTTTGCTCCCATTGGAAGCAAGCTGAACCATTTCCGTTTTATAAGATCTTTGTTTTTGCTCTGATAGGTTTTCAGAAGGGAATCACTGGAAAACTGTTTGAACCCTCTTTTTTCACTGCGCGGTTCCTTGTCAGGGTTGTGGGCTCAAGGGCTTCATCCCCACTTCTGTTAGGGGAATCCCCTCTTCAAATGGCTGCGGGTCAAAAATGGGTACCCAAAATGGAACCCTGGTAAGTGGCAACATGGACCAGCACCTGTGGTTCCCTGGTTTAATTTTGGCCCACACCCAAATGGGGGGGTAGTCTTCGGGCTCCGGCTTCGGCACTTTTGGTATCACAGATGCGTGGACTCCGCTTCCCGCAGCTCCGGCTTGAAAATCCCTGGCCATTGGAGGCGTCCACCGCGCGGCGCCGCTGCCCTACCTGGCCCAGCCGCAGCTTCCCATCGAGAAGCTCGGCTTGCGGCCGACGCGGCTGGGTGGGGCTTCATTGTGAGGTTTGCGAGAATACCGTTTGGGGAATGTACTTGGCATGTTTTTGTTCTTCTTCTTTTTTCTTCTGCCTGTTTTCGGTTTTCCTAGTTTTTTCTTCTTCCTGCTTTTTGGTTTCTGTTGAGTTTTTTTTTTTCTCGTGGGGGCTGCAAAGCACCATGTGCTTGAACCGTGGCTCGCATGCCAAGGTTTGGACCGGGCAGGGGGAGCCTCGTCCAGTCAGGGCCACGCCTTTGCCTAGGGCCCTGTGTCAAGCTGTTGTTCTTGTCTCAGAAGCGTTGGGGGCTAGTGCAACATCAGGTCACCGTTGCAGGCATCCCGTCAGGTGGTTTGGATTGGGAACTGGGGGATTGAACCTCTGGCTTTCGAGGGTACATGGGAAACCCCTTCACCGTTGCAAACCACGAGGGAAGCTGATGCAAAGCCCATGCAGATCCTAGGTAAAGGGTGTGATTTTTTTTCCGTTTCGAACGAAAGTCAGAGGAGAAAGAGGGAGAGACTTGATTTCAGGTGAACCACCGCACTTTTTTATTCCATGAGTTCCTGGACTGTCACTTTTGGGGTTGGACTTTTAGTGGTAAACAACAACTTGGGGCTTTTTGGGTTGCCAATCCACTCGATCGGAAGCGAGTTTTGTTCTGATGATTTTAGGTTGGAATTCCCGCGGGTCCATCGTCGAAAGGTTCCTCTGGTCTGATGTATGTGAGGGGCAATCAAGCCTGGGTAGGTGAAGGTTAAGGGGCAGTCCCAACCACAAATAGTTGCAGCATAGTGCAGCCATGTGCAGCCCTTTAAATTCTTTACATTTTGAAATTGCGCTTCCAGGCCATCTTAAGTGAATTCTCGAGTGGTGCGATGCAGGTGGAAAAATCGGAGTCCTTCTGTGGATGGACCAGCTGCACCAGTTGGCATGGAACCCTTATGAATACTTGGGTAAACCACCAATCCCAGCTGGCGTGACATGGATCTCGCCCATTCGCAGGTCACTTCTTCGGGATCAGGATCCGTTGCCGGTTGAGGGTCCGATTTGTGACCGGTGGGTGTGATGCAAGCAAACGCCCTCCAAACCTACCAACTCGTGCAGGGAACAAGGGCTTCCCCAACGTTTCCGTAGTTTCAGATTGTTTTGTGCTTGGGCGTTCGCAAGTTGCAGAATGTGTATGAATTTTCATTGGGGGCGCTTTGGTGGTGGGGTTCATGGCAAGGCAGTATCTACCCCTTATATCAATGGTACATGACCTCCATACCTCCAAAACCCACACCCCAAACTGCCCTTGAAAATTGGTAGTTTGGATTGGCTTCCAATGTGTCCCCAAGAAGAACCAGGATTTCAAACCCCCAGACCACCAACCCAAACCGCAAATTGGACACCCCCCCAAGAGAACATGACCAGTAATTCTACTTGGATCCGGGGTTCCCATTTGTGGCCATATTTTGGGGGTGTCATTTCTTTTGGGGTAACCATCCGTGAAAATTGTGGTTTTTCTTTTGGTTCTCCTTTGGGAACCACCCCGCAGAAATTGATGAGCAATTTATAATGTGGGTGAACGGAGATCCATTTCACACCACCTAAATCGAATTACAGGGTTTCTGAGCAGTGCAAAACGGACTTTGCAACCATCCACGGTTATTTTCTGATGTGAGGGTGTGTGTGCGTGTGTGTGTGTGTGGACACCCAAAAACAGTAGTGACATTTTCATATTGTTGGGCCTCCGCATTTCCATTCTGTCTTTTCTTAGGGCAGTTTCAGTTGTTGGTCTCCTTCCCATTTGTTTCCGTTTAAAGCCCAACCAAAAAAATGGCGTAGCCTGAGCAGAACTGGACGGAATCGTCGTGCCTCCGTTCGCTTCTCGTGTTGCTCAGGCTCCTTAGGGTTTGGGGTAGGCCAAACAAACAGGGTTCCTTAGGGTTACTGAGGGTTCACCACCCTTTTTTTGAGGCCTCCGAATCTCGTTTTTACCCCTAACTCCCAACCCCTAACTCCCAACCCCTAACTCCTAAGTCCCTGAGCTCCACAACTCTCACTTCATCAACCGGATTTTATGCCGCCGGTCGCGTTTTGGGGCCTCCGGCCGCGTCGCGGCTCTTCTTGGAGGTTCAACCCCTAACCCCAAACCCCCAACCCCAAACCCCAAACCCCTAACCCCTATCCCCTGACCCCTATCCCCTAACCCCTATCCCCTATCCCCTATCGCCCCTATCCCCTAGCCCCAAGCTCTCACCTTCCCACCGCACTTTCGGGGCCTCCGGCCGCCTCGCCGCGTCGAAACGATTCGAAACGCGTCGAGGTTCAGCTACCAGGGCCATTGGCCCCTGGGAGGCAGCTCCTCCTCCTCCGGGCCCTTGGTGCTGGATGCCGCCAACGGGTCCCTGGGAGCGAGGGCCTCGGTTGGGGGTGGGGTGGGGCGGGGTGGGGTGGGGTGGGGTGGGGGGATGATGGAGACTTCGTTTGCTTGTTAGTTGGATGTTTTAAGGGGGGTTCTATTTTGCAGCCACCTTTTTTTTTTTTTTTTTTGGGAGGGGAGGGGGTTCTCCGGGTCTCTACCTGGAAAAGGGTCTCGTGTCCATGGCGCGATGCTGGGCTTTCACTTCAATTAACCCTTCAAAACCCAATGAATGAGGGCAGCAATAGTCCACATCCCCTTATCTTCTTCCATGGCCCACGACGAACTTCCACGGCCCACGGCAAACTTCCATGGCCCACGCAGACAGTTGTCCATGGTCTTCCTCAAGCGTTTTCCTGGGAGACACTTGTGGGCCCTGCAAACATATCGAGAGGGTTGCCATGCAGGGAGAAACAAGGAGAAAGCCAGACCTAACTGGGCCAAAATCGGTCTGGCTTTGGTTCTCTTTGGATTACGGGGAAACCAAAAGGAAAACACCGTTGCCCCATGAAAAAGATCAACTTCCAGCCCGGGGAACTGACCTTTGGGGGGGGTTCAACCTAACGGAACGGCGCGCCATTCTGCGCTGTTTTCTTCGTTGGGGTCCACTAGGGTTTCAAAGGAAAACCTCAAGGAGCACGGAGCACTGTTGCGCCATTTTTGGGGGGTCCGACCTTGAAACAGATACACACCCCACCAACTAACACGGAACCTGACAGGGGGTCCCTTTAAAATGCAAGGTCTTCCAGGAACCTCCCTTTAAAATGCATGGTCTTCCAGGAACCCCCAGTTGAATGCAAGGTCTTCCAGGAACCTCCCTTTAAAATGCAAGGTCTTCCAGGAACCCCCTTAAAATGCAAGGTCTTCCAGGAACCTCCCTTTGAAATGCAAGGTCTTCCAAACCTTCCTTTAAAATGCATGGTCTTCCAGGAACCTCCCTTTAAAATGCAAGGTCTTCCAGGAAACTCCCTTTAAAATGCAAGGTCTTCCAGGAACCTCCCTTCAAAATGCAAGGTCTTCCAGGACCCCCCCCTTTAAAATGCAACGTCTTCCAGGAACCCCCCTTTAAACTGCAAGGTCTTCCAGGAGCCTCGCTTCAAAATGCAAGGTCTTCCAGGAACCTCCCTTTAAAATGCAAGGTCTTCCAGGAACCTCCCTTTAAAATGCAAGGTCCTCCAGGAACCTCCCTTCAAAATGCAAGGTCTTCCGGGAACCTACCTGTAAAATACAACATGGTCTTCCAGGAACCTCTTAAAATGCAAGGTCTTCCAGGAACCTCCCTTTAAAATGCATGGCCTTCCAGGAACCTCCCTTTAAAATGCGTGGTCTTCCAGGAACCTCCCTCTAAAATGCAAGGTCTTCCAGGAACCTCCCTTTAAAATGCAAGGTCTTCCAGGAACCTCCCTTTAAAATGCAAGGTTTTCAAATGCATGGTCTTCCAGGAACCTCCTTGAAAATGCATGGTCTTCCAGGAACCTCCCTTTCAATTTGCAAGGTCTTTCAGGAACCTCCCTTTTAAATGCGTGGTCTTCCAGGAACCTCCCTTCAAAATGCATGGTCTTCCAGGTACCTCCCTTCAAAATGCATGGTCTTTCAGGAACCCCCTTTTGAAATGCAAGGTGTTCCAGGACGCCCCCTTTAAACTACAATTCGGGAAAAGACATTTTTAAGGCTCGCGACATTGCTTGATTCTAGCTCCAACGATGCTCCACAAAGATGCAAACCTGCGCTTGGCCAAGAGAGAGGCACATCCTTTGCACACAGGCGGTCTCCCGGGACCTTCCTTTAAAATTCAAGGTCTTCCAGGAACCTCCCTTTAAAATGCATGATCTTCCAGGAACCTCCTTTAAAATGCAAGGTCTTCCAGGAACCTCCCTTTAAAACGCAGGAACCCCCAGTTGAAATGCAAGGTCTTCCAGGAAACCCCCTTTAAACCAGTTGAAATGCAAAGTCTTCCGGGAACCTCCCTTTAAAATGCAAGGTCTTCCAGGAACCTCCCCCTTAAATGCAAGGTCTTCCAGGAACCTGTTTTTTTAAAGCATGGTCTTCCAGGAACCCCGCTTTAAACATGCAAGGTCTTCCAGGAACCTCCCTATAAAATGCATGGTTTTCCAGGAACCTCCCTTCAAAATGCAAGGTCTTCCGGGAACCTACCTGTAAAATACAACATGGTCTTCCAGGAACCTCCCTTAAAATGCAAGGTCTTCCAGGAACCTCCCTTTAAAATGCATGGCCTTCCAGGAACCTCCCTTTAAAATGCATGGTCTTCCAGGAACCTCCCTTCAAAATGCAAGGTCTTCCAGGAACCTCCCTTTAAAATGCAAGGTCTTCCAGGAACTCCCTTTAAAATGCAAGGTTTCCCAGGAACCGTCTTCCAGGAACCTCCCTTTCAAATGCATGGTCTTCCAGGAACCTCCTTGAAAATGCATGGTCTTCCAGGAACCTCCCTTTCAATTTGCAAGGTCTTTCAGGAACCTCCCTTTTAAATGCGTGGTCTTCCAGGAACCTCCCTTCAAAATGCATGGTCTTCCTGGTACCTCCCTTCAAAATGCATGGTCTTTCAGGAACCCCCTTTTGAAATGCAAGGTCTTCCAGGACGCCCCCTTCAAAATGCAAGGTCTTCCAGGAACCCCCCTTTAAAATGCAAGGTCTTCCAGGAACCTCCCTTTAAAATGCAAGGTTTTCCAGGAACCGTCTTCCAGGAACCTCCCTTTCAAATGCATGGTCTTCCAGGAACCTCCTTGAAAATGCATGGTCTTCCAGGAACCTCCCTTTCAATTTGCAAGGTCTTTCAGGAACCTCCCTTTTAAATGCGTGGTCTTCCAGGAACCTTTCCTTGAAAATGCATGGTCTTCCAGGTACCTCCCTTCAAAATGCATGGTCTTTCAGGAACCCCCTTTTGAAATGCAAGGTCTTCCAGGACGCCCCCTTTAAACTACAATTCGGGAAAAGACATTTTTAAGGCTCGCGACATTGCTTGATTCTAGCCCCAACGATGCTCCACAAAGATGCAAACCTGCGCTTGGCCAAGAGAGAGGAACATCCTTTGCACACAGGCGGTCTCCCGGGACCTTCCTTTAAAATGCAAGGTCTTCCAGGAACCTCCCTTTAAAATGCATGATCTTCCAGGAACCTCCTTTACAATGCAAGGTCTTCCAGGAACCTCCCTTTAAAACGCAGGAACCCCCAGTTGAAATGCAAGGTCTTCCAGGAAACCCCCTTTAAACCGGTTGAAATGCAAAGTCTTCCGGGAACCTCCCTTTAAAATGCAAGGTCTTCCAGGAACCCCCCCCTTAAATGCAAGGTCTTCCAGGAACCTGTTTTTTTAAAGCATGGTCTTCCAGGAACCTCGCTTTAAACATGCAAGGTCTTCCAGGAACCTCCCTATAAAATGCATGGTGTTCCAGAAGCCTCCCTTTAAAATGCATGGTCCTCCAGGAACCGCCTTAAAATGCAAGGTCTTCCAGGAACCTCCCTTAAAATGCAAGGTCTTCCAGGAACCTCCCTTTAAAATGCAAGGTCTTCCAGGAACCTGCCTTTAAAATGCATGGTCTTCCAGGAACCTCCCTTTAAACTGCAAGGTCTTCCAGGAACTTTTTTTACGCATGATCTTCCAGGACCCCCGCTTTAAATGCAAGGTCTTCCAGGAATCTCCCTTTAACATGCATGGTCTTCCAGGAACCTCCCTTCAAAATGCATGGTCTTTCAGGAACCCCCCTTTGAAATGCAAGGTCTTCCAAACCTTCCTTTAAAATGCATGGTCTTCCAGGAACCTCCCTGCTAAATGCAAGGTCTTCCAGGAACCGTCTCCCTTAAACATGCAAGGTCTTCCAGGAACCGTCTTCCAGGAACCTCCCTTTAAAATGCATGGTCTTCCAGGAGCCCCCCTTCAAAATGCATGGTGTTCCAGGAACCTCCATTTAACATGCAAGGTCTTCCAGGAACCTCCCTTTAAAATGCAAAGTCTTCCAGGAACCTTCCTTCAAAATGCAAGGTCTTCCAGGAACCTGCCTTTAAAATGCAATTTCTTCCAGGAACCGTCTTCCAGGAACCGCCGTTTAAAATGCATGGTCTTCCAGGAACCTCCCTTTAAAATCTTTAAAATGCAAGGTCTTCCAGGAACCCCCCTTGAAAACGCAAGGTCTTCCAGGAACCACCCTTTAAAATGCAACATCGTCCAGGAACCGCCTTTAAACTGTAAGGTCTTTCAGCTTCAAAAGGCAAGGTCTTCCAGGAACCTCCCTTTAAAATGCAAGGTCTTCCAGGAACCTCCCTTTGAAACGCATGGTCTTCCAGGAACCTCCCTTCAAAATGCCAGGAACCTACCTTTGAAATGCAACATGGTCTTCCAGGAACCTCCTTGTGAAATCCCTTTACAATGCATGGTCTTCCAGGAACCTCCCTTCAAACTGCAAGGTCTTCCAGGAACCTCCCTTCAAAATGCAAGGTCTTCCAGGAACCTCCCTTTAAATGCAAGGTCTTCCAGGAACTTCCCTTTAAAATGCATGGTCTTCCAGGAACCTCCCTTTAAAATGCAAGGTCTTCCAGGAACCACTTTAAAATGCAAGGTCTCCCAGGAACCGTCTTCCAGGAACCTGCTTTTAAAATGCCCTTTAGAATGCAAGGTCTTCCAGGAACCTCCCCCTGTAAAATGCATGGTCTTCCAGGAACCCCGCTTTAAAATGCAAGGTCTTCCAGGAACCCCCCTTAAAAATGCAAGGTCTTCCAGGAACCGTCTTCCAGGAACCTCCCTTCAAAATGCATGGTCTTCAAGGAAGCCCTTTAACATGCAAGGTCTTGTAGGAACCGTCTTCCAGGAGCCTCCCTTGGTACTCCCTTTAAAATGCAAGGTCTTCCAGGAAGGAACCCCCCTTTAAAATGCATGGTCTTCTAGGAACCCATTTAAAATGCAATGTCTTCCAGGAACCTCCCTTTAAAATGCATGGTCTTCCAGGAACCTCCTTGTAAAATGCATGGTCTTCCAGGAACCTCCCTTTAACATGCAAGGTCTCCAGGAACCGTCTTCCAGGAACCCCCCTTTAAAATGCATGGTCTTCCAGGAACCCCTTCAAAGTGCATGGTCTTCAGGAACCCCTTTAAAATGCAAGGTCTTCCAGCAACCCCTTTAAAAACGTAACCTGGTCTTGCAGGAGCTGCCGGAACATCAGGTTGCACGTTAATTGGTGGGAAGGTACACCCAACTATGGCCACTCTCGAAGGTCTACCTACAGGAACACGGAACACCGTTGCGCCACTTTTTGCGGCGTGCAGCCTTGAACAAGATAAGGTCCAATTCGGGGAGCTGACCTTGGGGGATTCCAACCTAAAGGAACGGTGCGCCGTTTTGCATGATTCTTTTGGAGTGGGTTCCGCTTAGGTTTTAAAAGGGGAAAGCCAAAGGGGAGCACGGAACACCGTTGCGCCCGTTTTTTTTGGGGGGTCCAACTATGGCCACTCCCGAGGCCACTGCCAAAGAGTCTTTCAACAGGCTGACACCGCACTGCGCCGTGTTCGGGGCCGACCGAATCCGAGATAACAGGCGACAAGACTCAAACCAAACAAACTCAACCAAACAAACTTAAGTCTGGTCAGTTTGGTCGAAACCGCACTCAACCAACAAACTCGACCACCCAAACTTGTCAGGGACTGCATCAAACCAACTCAAACATGGCGCGGTCACCGCCGGTCTTGCGGCTTCAATCTAAGGTCTGGTCCGGGCATGTGCCCGTCAGCGCCGCGGCGGCGGCCTCCTCTGCGGTCTTCGGGGCGGAGCCGGTGGACGGGCGCATCGGACGGCGAAAGACGAGCCCTTTTTGGACCTTTTTGCTTTTCCCTTTGCTTGCGGGTTTTCCCCACGTTTTTGGCGTTTTGTTTTCTTCTTTCCCAGCTTGGGTTCAAGCATCTTTGCGCCATTTATCTCACTGTTTTTTGTTTCCCAGTTTGAACTGGTTTTTTCCGGGGCAGCTGCCCAAGGTGATTCCACCCAGAGTCCCTTGAGCCTGCAGCCGAGGCTCCCAGCCGTGGAGCTCGCGTCGCTGCTGAAGGCGGACGTGGCGGCGCCTCAGCACCTGAGTCGGCGCGTTCGCTCGTATGCGTGGGACACTTCCTTTACCGGGGTTCAGGGCATACATACATACACACATACATGCATGCATGCATACATGCATGTACGTGCATGTTTGCGTGCGTGTGTGTGCGTCCGTACGTACATGCGTACATGCATGCGTGCATACATGCATACGCGCATACATATATATATATATATATGTGTGTGTGTGTATGTTCATGCATGCATGCATGCATGCATACATACAAGCATACGTCCATACATACATACATACATACATGCATACATGCATACATACATGCATGCATGCCTACATACATGCATGGTATGTATACATACACACATGCATGCATACATGCATGCATAAATGCATACACACATACAAACAAAACAAACAAACAAACATACATACATACATACATACATACATACATACATACATACATACATACATACATACATACATACATACATACATACATATACACACATACATACACACATACATACACACATACGTTCATACAGACACACATGCACACACATACATACATACAGACAGGCAGACAGACAGACAGACAGACAGACATACATGCATACATACATACATGCATGCATGCATACATACATATATTCATACATACATACATTCGTACATACATACATACACACACACACGCACATGCTTGTATTTGTGCGTGCGTGCGTACGTACATGCGTACATGCGTACATGCGTGCATGCGTACGTGCATATGTAGATGCATATATATGTGTACATGCGCAAATTTTTGTGTAGATATATTCATGTATTGTATATGTGCTTCAAAAAAGAGGCGCAATACCCGCATATACGCCCATTTGTAGCTAACCCTATCTATATCCATCTATCCATCTATCTACCTACCTATTCATCTTACACAGTCTAGTCTAGTCTAAGCCTAGTCTAAGTCTAGTCTAAGTCTAGTCTAAGTCTAGTCTAAGTCTAATCTCTCTGTATCTTTCTATGCATCTAGTGATGAACCCATTCAGATCCTTAGATCCCCCCCTCGCTTGTGGCGGACCAGGTCTGGGCGGCCATCGACGGCTTCGAGGCGGATGGATTTGGGCCTTGTCGATCACAACACAATTCAAACACGCACAAAGCACTTATGAAACCACAAAGGTCCTTGGTCCTTTTTTTCTTTTTCGGGCTCAGGTGGCCGACCAGCTGCGGGCGGCTTTGGCGCACCCGGACGCGCAGAAGGTGGGCCAAGATTTGTCTTTTCAAGGGGTCCTGGGGCGGGGGATGGCAAGTTTTCTTGGAAAAGCCACGGAAACCAGTGATGGTCACCTGCAGCTAATGCAAATCTCCAAGCCTATACAACAGGTGATCATGGCAATCCCCAGCTGCCGGGACTCCCGGTCTACAGCGCGCCTTGCGCAGTGTGGCAACCCCCGCGCAAGGCGCGCTGTAGGCGCACGGCCTTTATTATGAAGGCTTGGCCCCCTCTGTTCCAACCTGTCTTTGTTTTTTTTTCTTTTTCGACCGGATTTGCGATTCAGGCATCCGATTAAGAGGTTCTTTTGGCACAAGTTGGCCCAAGCCTGCTGGGTCCGACCCTGAACATTGGATTGCAATGTGAGCATAGGCACGGCGAGCCCCTTTTGACTGAATGAAAAAGAGAGCCCCTAGTTCAGGGATGACTGGGGTTATGGCCGGCGGCAGGTGGCGGTCTTGGGCCAGGAGGCGGTGCACGCGCTGATCGACGGGGGCTACACGGACGGCACGGGCATCGCCCAGGCGGTGGCCTCCGGAGCAGAGGAGGCGCCTGGGGGGCGGGTGGTGGGGCGGGTGGTGGGGTGCAGGTGGCTTTTGGTACCTCCCCCTTCCTAAGGGCTTGGTTTTGGTTTTTTATCCCCCAGGTTGGTGCATATTAGAGGACCCAAAGGAGAGAAAACCTTCTATTTCTTCTTGTTGTTTGGGCAAGAAATCCGATTAGGAGAAAATAGGATTGGCTAAAGCCCTCCATTTTGAAGTGCCCAGAAGGGAATGACGCCGTGGGGTTAGAAAGCGGATGAGCTCCAAATCCGGTTGCTTACCCGCTTGCAAAAACAATCGTGGTAGTTGACAGCGGGTTTTGGACGAATTTCTTTTCGGGGACCCCCCTCCATTGGATGGTAGCGAGGTTGCGTGGTTTCTTGAGAGTGCTTGGGGTGTTCGGCAAGTTAGCAAGTTGTTGGTAACCTAGGCTAGAACCAACTTGTAAGTCCCCGGTGGAGTTTACCATGTTATGAGTGGGGCATAACCCAGGTGGGTAATCATTTGCTAACTTGGCTGAGCATCCAAGTACCGCTTTTGGGGTAAACCAAAGGGCAAGCCGCGCGGTTTTTCGGGTTACCCATTTTTGCTAAAACCGCCAGCCGGGCCGGTGAAGGTGATACCCTCGTGACAGGACTGGGGCGATCCTCAAGTTGACACCCTGGTGAAAACAAAACAAAGACAACAATTGTTTGCACAGCCTCTTGGCTTCCCCTGAACAGGGGGCCTGTGTTTTGCTGCTCAAAAACCGTCTGCTAGAGAAATGCATCAGTTTTTCCAACACATCTCATTGGTTTTCAGTTTTCCTCTCTTGGATGCTCACACGCCCAGTAAGTAGGTTACAGCCGCGTAAAGTGACGGACGGATAGTTGGAGAACTGGAACCTTGGGGTCTCTGCGAAAGCTGCAGCGTTCAGGGAAGCTTGCGGTACTTAACTTGATTTTGCCAGTGGAGTATATAGTATTGCCAGTAGCTAATGTAGCGTTGCAGATGCTTATTTTTGCATTGCCAGGAATACTTTTAGTTTGCCGCATAGCCAGTTCAATATGTAATCTTGCCAGTGGTAAACTTAGTGAATTTATGTTGCCAGTACGAAGTTTATTGTTGCCACCACTTAATTTAGTACTGCCAATACTTTATTCAGTATTGCCATTACCACCGTCGTTATTGCTAGTGCTCCATTCATTATTGCCAGTCCGTACTGACATTACTAAATTTAGCTTTTCCACTACGTGGTTTAGCAATTGAACGTCTCTAGTATTGCCAGTGCTTGAGCTAATATTGCTTATGGTCAATCTTGTATTGCTAGTGCAAAGTTTAGTATTGCCAGTGCATAATTTAGCATTGTCAGTATCTATTTTCACTACTGCCAGTACCAACTTTAGTATTGCCAATGCTAAAGCCAGTACTGCCAGCACTTGCCAGTCCTAAAATTTCGAATCTCAGTACTTGGTTTGGGGTTGCAAATGCTCATTTTTGACCCGTTACATTTTATTAGGATCGCGGGCTTCGAGAAGAAAGGGTGGCCCTGCGAGAGGCCACAGTCAACCGTGCAGATGTCTGGTGTCCTGTGCAAGGGATAGACAAATGTTTCGGCCACGCGCGTGCTGCAAATTAGCGGCGAAGCTATGCTGGGCAATGCTATGTTCAGCTGCCACGGCCGAGAAAACTCGCGAAAGGCTGTGAGTCTTCTTCTTCGGCAGGCAAACAAAAGATCACAGCGCATCTAATCTTTAATTCTTAGCTTGTTTATACTTCTATCTTTTCTTCTCCCGCTGAATGCCAGCATCTGCGACGGAGCCCAAGCAGGGGGCTCATGTTGGCGTTCTATTTTTTCTTGTTTGATCCGATTTCCGGACGATGTGGAACAAACCAACTGTGCGTCCGTTACAGCCGCCCTTTAAAGAAAGCCCCAACCCTCCGGGTGTGCGGCTTTCCTTGTGGCTTCGCTTTAAAGGCCCAGAACGGGAACACCCCCCAACAAACAGATCACACACACACACATCACCGTTGGAATTTCGGAGCCAGAGTTTCCTTTTGGTGGGGTGGTGGTTTTATTTGGATACGCATACATACATACACACACACATCTCTCTCTCTCTCTCTCTCTCTCTCTCTCTCTCTGTTGCCGGGCCTGGTTACTTGTGAAAACAATGTCTTGCCTGCTTTGTGGTTGGATCTTCAGAGGCTAACTTTGTGTGACATGACGCCTTTTTCCTTCGCAACGGCAAGCAGTTCCAGGTCTGCATTTTTTGCGTGCACTTTTTTCGGAGTTCTCTTCTGTCATTTTTGGGTGTACCCCAGCTCGGGACAACGTTTGTGACACGACAGGTGGTGGTAGTGCTGAACAGCTACTCCAGCAACCTGGCGGAGTACGTGGCCCAGCTCTTCCCAGGAGGCCCAGTCACCAAGCCGGGAGTGCCCAAGGAGCTGTGCCTGGGATTTCCAGTGGGCCGCTGGGGGCAGGGGGAGGGTAGGTTTTTTGGGCTTGTTGTTTTATGTTTGTGTTGTTTTGTTTTTTTTGGGGGGGAGGGGACAGGTTCCCATTGCTTTGAACATCCTTTTGAACATCCTTTTGGGACCAGACCCAAAAGGAGATGCCTTCAGAAACTGTGCTTCCTGGGGTGTCAATGTTGACGTGAAGGATCGCAGGAAGTCCACCCCATTGCGCCCTGAATAGCTTTCTGTTCAACAAAGACATCTTTCTATTTCTTTGGGGTCCTGTGAGAACCCTTGTTTAACCAGAATTCAGAGAGTAAATTTGAGGGTGCCGCTTGTTCGCAAGTTGCTTACGGAGATTTTTGTCAATTTGCTCGGACGAGGCTCAACAAATGTTGTGCTTGGCCAGGGTGCGGGTGACTGGGTGACCCTCCGGGTGCGATGATAGTGGGGTGCGAGTATGCCGGGAAAGCGGCGCGGGACTTGCTGGCTGGACATCAAAGTTAGTCTCCAAGTGGTTTAAATGGACGTCACCAAAACAACGAACAAACAAGGGACCCGGACCTCACCAGCAACAAGGACACCCTGAAGAGCCCTGCAGGACCTCAAAAAGTCTTAAGCCTTGACCCCCCCCCCAAGAAACCTTCAGGGGCTCTGCCCCCCGCCCAAAGAAACCTTAAGGGACCCTTCCCCCCCAACCAAACCTTTGGTGCATGTTGCTTGGATGTTAGAACTTCAGCTTTTTGCAAACAAATAGGCTTTCCACTTAATCCCATTATAAGTTAAAGACTTTCAGCAGGGCTTCGCAGCAAGCCCACCTCCCCCCCTCTCACCCGCCCTCCCCCCCTCTCACCCGCCCTCCCCCCTCTCACCCGCCCTCCCCCCCCACCCCCCCCCACCCCCCCGCCAGGAAACAAAACAAATTGAGGGCTTTGGCGCACCACACAGACGTCCAAAAAACGGCAAGGTACCCGGTCTTCAGTGCCCCCAGCGCGGCGGCGGTGGATGAGGCCTTCGCCCAGTTCCGGCAGCTGCAGATTGCTGAGGGCAGCTCCTACTTGAAGGCGAAGTGGGTTGCAGGGCGTCCCTACCAGGCCAAACCGGCCTCACTAGCAGAGCCTGGGGTTCTAGGTGGCCCTAGATGTTGACGTTTGAAAAAAAAGGGGCAAAGCTTGGCCGACGTGATGATGTTGAAGCCCAGCGAAAACGGGCAACATGCTGTGGATGGACGAAATCCGTTTAGGCACCATGGCTGAAACCACAACGTTGGTGGGTATTTACAGAACAATCATCATGCCAATTTTTCTTAAGTGGTATTTCGTCCACCCACAGCATGAATCAACCCCAGTTTGTTAATAGGGGGTGTCTCTGGTGAAATGCGGGGAATCAGACCACTTTTGGAGGGGAACACCCTTTGTAATCAACTGAAATTGGCAAATGTCGGGTCCACATTCAGGCCCCTCCCCCCCCACCAATAATCGTGGAAGTGGGCAGGCAGGTTTCAGACAAGGACAGTAGTCTTATCCTGTCAGTTTCTGGGTTCAGGGCTCTATTTGGGTGCCAATCTTCTGGTTGCCACACGGTGGGTTCAACCCAGGGATAGCTGGGCTTGCTCTTGCTCAGCTAGCAACTTCCCTTGCCTTCAATGTCGATCCCATACTAGGACTGCGTGAAGTCAGGCACAGGTTCAGCATTTTTTGGCTTGTCGGCGTTTCTGTTTTTGGGGTTCCATCAGTTCGGCTTTTGACTTTGGACTTTTCGGGGCTTTTCGACTTTTCGGGACTTGTCAACTTTCCATCTTTTCGGGACATGTTGGTTTGCTCGTGACGGCTTTTCGGCTTTTCGACCTTTCAGATTTCAACTCGTCAAGGTGTTCTTGTTGTTCGTTTGCAGGGGTGTCATAGTGTTATCTATCCTGGAAAGTGCAACGCTACAGTAGTAGTCCAAGAAGTTCAATGCCTAGATCTGCTTAGCAATGCAGTTTCATTAGCGGAATCAGTATTATCTGGTCAAGGTGGCCTGTTGGCCGCCGCGCAAGAACCCGGCTCCTCGGTCCGTGCGTTCTCCCGTGTGGTGGCCTCTCTGTGGCTTTTGTGGACGTCTGGAGCGCCTCCCTGGCCGTCCTGGGGGTTTGGAGCTTTGCTTTTCGACTTTTCGTGACTTTGCGTGTTTCGCGACTTGTTGAGTTATTGACTTTTTGGCTTTTCGAGCTTCCATTGTTCAACTTTTTGATGTTCTCGGCTTGTGTTGAGTTTTCGACACCATCATCATTGCCCGCGTGCCTTCGTGGCATGTGGCAATTCTAGAGCTTGCAAGTGTACCTGGTACCTTGATGCTCGACGTTCTTGACCTGTGTGCTGCTGTTCTTCACCGAGGCTCCACGTACGATTGCGGCCGCTATATTACTTTAGCGCGTCACCTCATTGGCTGGGTGCGCTGCAATGATGGAGACAAACCATTGCGCTTATCCGCAACTCCAGAGGCTTTGCGCACGCGCAGCCGCTACGTTATCTATGAGACATCGAGCATGCGTGCGTTTTTTTTGCCCATGCTCAGGAGCCCTCATCTTTATCTTGAGCGCCCGTCCAGCAGACTTGGTTGGTCGCTGCTCATGTGGTTGCTAATTGGCGCTATGGAACGCTTGCCAAGCACACCGAGTCAACTTGTGAGCGTGGCGCACTGATGAAATGCGGGAAAACAGAGAGAGAGAGAGCGAAAAAAAGGAAAGACACCTCTTTGGACCCCGCGCGTCTTAGCGGCGCTGCTGCTGTTCAAACTTGGCCATTGCTTGCTGAGACCGTTTGTAGTTCTCTTCACTGCTGCCAGTTTGGCTTCTGCAGCACCTCTAGCACTGCTGCTGGACAGCGCTGTCGGCATCCTTTCAAGCTTGGTTGACAAAACACTTCAGCTTGCAGCTGGGCAGTTGGAAGAACCAAAGCAGATATTGGTTTGTTGGAACCGCTGACCATGGAGTGGCCACTGAAGCCTGCTGTTCAAGCTCTGCAGCATATGCTCTCTGCAAAATCCTTCCTCGATGCTCGGCAGGCTGGAAGACAACTTTCACTTGCAGCAACCCTGTACAACCGCGGCTGCTGTGGATAAGCTGAGAGGCCAGTGCCTGGATTTAAGCTTTCCTGCTTCGAGTGCATCAGCAGCAAGGAAGGTTGAGCATGCGGACTTGACGATGTTTCTTGATGCCGCACATGTGGGCGAGGTTGGTCGAACAAGAAAAAATCGGCCTTGGGACAGCAAGGCCCCAGCGCCACCGCCCTGACAAAATAACTGTTTTGCGACGTGTTTGAGCCCCTCTTGCCAATGTGCTTGTATTGGCTCGGGACACCCTTCGTGCAAGCTTCCTACGTTCTGGCCAGTGCAGGAGCAATCATGGTTGCGCATCAGTCCGGGCTAGAAACAGACATTAGTGCTGACCTGGGGGACCTGCTGCGAGTGCTTCGAGGCACATGCTAGACCGATGCCTGGACTTGCAATTCACCGACACACGGCCCAGAGGAGGATACACTTGCTACAGTGTGTGAGATGTTGCAAGTGCGCCCGGTTGTCGTGGCACTGTGGTCGGAGCTTGCTTCTTTTGCAAGCGCTCTTGCGGAAGAGTTTCGCTTCGAACGCATCTCGATTGCGTTAGCCGTTAGAGCTGCGCACGCCCAGTGCGCTTGCAGACGAAGGCGCCCAGCGTCGACTGGCCCAATGCTTGATTTTGACGTCAAGGCTGACCATGAGCCGCCTAGTGCAGACTCCCAACGCTGGCGCTGCCGCACAATTGGTCAGCCAGTCGCAAAGCTTCGTGATGCGCACCCCTTGTGTTCAACCATTTCGCAAGGTGAGGCTTGGGTGCCGATTTTGTGCGGCAGCTGCCTGGCTGCAAGTTCCTGCCCATGAGAGCTGCCATGAGCTGTCTAGCCTCCATGCGACGTAGAAACTTCCAGCGTCATGTGATGTTCGGTGAGCATTCCTGTGGGTTTGTGTTCCCTTGTGCTTCTCAGGGTCAGCGCGCGCGGCACTCCACCTTCTGTTGTGTTTTGCACGCAGGCTCCTGCCCAATGATGCTGGCTTGCATGTTAGCGCTCGCAGACGGGGGCAACTCAACAGAACATAAGGGGGCTAGTGCGCCGTGGCCGTGCGTGGCCGTGCGTGGCCGTGCGTGGCCGTGCGTGGCCGTGCCGTGGCACCCGTGGGCGTGGCCCAGCTGTGCGTGCCCGTGGCGGCACGGCCGAGTTGACACTCTCCATTCCACCCCTCCACTCTGCACCACTTCATGCTCCTCCACCCCTCCAGCCCTGCCCCCTCCTCTCCCTTCCATGCTCCTCCTTTCCATGCCCCTCCGCTGCCAACCCCTCCATCTCCTTTCTGCTCCATGCTCCACCACCCCTCCACCCCTCCGCCCCTCCACCCTCCCTTACTGTGCTGCTCCTCCACCACCTCCACCCACCATACCATGCTCTGCTCCATGCTCCTCCACTACCCCCACCCTCCTCACCCTTCCATGCTCCATGCTCCGCCCCCCGCCGCCACCACCCCTCCACCCCGCCACCCCACCCTCCACACCCTCCACCCTCCACCCGCCCTTGTCTGGCGCGTGACTTGACCATGCGCTTGTTTCCCACGCACTACCCCCAGAAGCCACAGGGCTTGCTCTGTGTCAATTTGCTGTTTCGCAACAACCAGTCTTGGGCGGAATCAACAGTTTGTTGCAGCTGGCTTGTGGTTATAGAATTTCATTTTGCATCCCTCTGACCTCCAGCCAGGACTCTGAAACAACTTAACTTAGTCACCAGCCCAACATGATATCAGGTCAGCGCACAACATTTGTTTGCACGCAGCTTGTCCGTTTGAAGACGTGTTTGCGCAGAGTCCGTTCGGAGGCCCCTAGGCCCGGGGCTGCAGAGCGGTGAGGGGTACAGAGTGAAATATTCCCCCTTCCAAGCACAAGTGAAACCGACACCAACACTGGAAGTGTGAAACTCTTGAGAGTGCACGCAGCTAAATGGAAAAAGAGAAAGCACAGCTAGGACGCAGTCACACCTTTCGAATTGCTCCCGGCCATGGCTGTTGTCGGGGTAGACCTGGAAGCTCCAGCAGGATGCTTAGCCGTAGCAAAACGGTACGGAGAGTACATTGGTGGTGAAACACGCCCGTTCACCACTTCATTTGGTGTGACCTTTGACCTCGGCCAGTCAACAAGCTTGTGTACGGACACTTTCTGGGCCGTAAGGGCAATGATGTGAAGCTCTGTTCTTCTATCACGCGCGGCGTGCTTCAGGACTTGGGCAAGCAGGCGTTGGCGGTCGTGATGTGCCGCTCGACCTTGGCATCGCTCACCAATCCCTTCTACGTGGACTTCCTGAAGAGCATCAGCGCTGAGTACAAGGGCATCACGCCAAAATCGCTGCGAGCCACATATTTGCCACAGCTGCATGACCAAGCCAAAGCCAAGCTGCCGCGAAGCCTTGCAGGGTGTGACGTGCAGCTCACTCGGCGCGGACGGCGGCAAAAAACGCTACCTGTACTTTGTAGTGGCTGCTCGCGGGGCGGAGTTTTCTGTTGGGTTCTGGAACTCCGGGTCCCAAGCGAAAGACAAGGAGAACACTGTCCGGGCCATCGAGGCGCATATCACGGAAATCGAAGCCACGTTCAACATCAAGATCTCCAGCGTGGTTCTGGACAACGAGCCGAAGAATTGTATTTTCGTAGGTATTTATACACTTCTTGTAGCGTTCAAATATCAGCAGCCGTGGCCGTGGCGTGGCCGTGGCCGTGCAGCCGTGGCCGTGGCGTGGCCGTGCCACCTCTTTATGCAACAGAATGTTCGCACACGATGTACGGCAATGTGGGTCACTGATGAATATCGGCCCGCAAAAAAAACAGTTGACGACCGGCTGGCTGTGGGCCGTGCCTGCTCTCAGCAGGGCGCGGTGCAAACGTGCTTGATTCTGCAAAGTCTTGACTTTCCGACCTTTCGAGTTTTTGACTTTTCGTGACTTCCGGTTCTGCGCGACTTTTTGAGTTTCTCGAGAAGCTGTCTTTTCGAGCTTCGTGTTATGCACCTTTTGACTTTTAGACTTTTCAAGTTTTCGCAGTCAAAAAGCAAATTGGCACCGCGCGCTCCGAAGCTTATCGGGTCGCCGCACAGAAGAATATGTGCCGTTGTCGAAACACCTTTGTGCTTGGGGCTGCTAGGAATTGTCAGCAGCCTCTTCTATAATAGGAATGTTGCCAACCTGTGCAACAAGGTTTCTGGGGATTTTCTCAGCGGATCAGTCCGAAGATCCCGATATCACCAGCCAGCTTTCTGTCCCCCAATATTGTCTGGTTTTCTTTGGCGGACACTGCAAAATGGTCACGTTGTTTTTTTGGTTTTTGTTTTCCCTATTGGGAGCTGGTGGTTGGCAGCAGTGTGAATCCGTGTGAATCCTTCACTTCTGCGGGTGGCGCTCTCCTTTTCACAGCTAGCAGTTTGTTTCCAGGGTACCCAAAACTCAAGTTCCTTCTTGTTCAAAAATGGATTGGTGGTTGATTTGAACCCCTGGTTCCTGCAAAGGGTAAATTGAATTGGAGACCCCTCCTTGGCCACCAAGCCACCCATCCAAACCACCAACTGGGAAGCTGACAGCACCGCCTCCGGTGGATTGATCCGAGGGGCGCATCCCAACAACAGTCAGGTGCTGGCGGTCGGCAGCTTCGAGGCCACCACTGCGAAGAACGCCTACTTTGGTACAGAGGAGGGCCGCCAGGTGCGGGGAAGAACTTGGGGCTGGCTCGTGTTCTGTTGGGGGCGGGGGTCGAGGAAGGAAGAAGGGGGGGGTATGATGGACCCCAGGGGCCATTTTGTAACCTACTTCATTTGGGGTATTTGTGTTTTGGGCTCTTGGCTGTCCATGGCACGCCGCTGCGGGGGATTTTGGTGGGTGTTTAAAAGGAAAGCAGAAGGGAGCCGCTGCCCTTCCGGGGTTTGCGGACCCCAAGTCTTGGGATTTGAGAGAGACGCCGGCACCAGCGCCTTGCACACGCGCCATGGCGATCGTGGCCGGCCGACTTGCAGTGGTCAAATGGCGTCCGCTGGCTTTGATTCATTTCCATCCATCGACACCTGTGATGGTTCTCTGGGTTTGCGGCTTGAGTTGGGCAATTTTAGATCCTGGGGCTGTTGCAAGGGAAAACAACATGGGTGTGTTTTGTCTTCAGGGTGCCCCTTTTCGGTTGGGTTTTCAAGCGAAATCAAAAGGCACACCTTTTCGCCATTTTGGCGAAGCCAGATAAGACTTGGATCCACAGGTAAAGGACCCACAACACGGGTTTTCGATTGTTTACAAAAAATCGGTAAGCTCCGTGACTTGTTTAAACAGTGCTGAGTGTTCAGCCCACTTATAAGTCCCCACTTCAGTGGAGTCAGCCATGTTAGTAGTGGGGTTACAGCCAAGGTGGGCAAAAATCAGGTACCTCTTCGTTGGCGGTTTGGATTGGTGGGAGCTGGGGATTTGAACCCTGGTTCCATGGGAAACAGTCCTTCCACCAAATAGAGCACTTGGGGGGGAGTTGACCACTGGCAAATCCGCACTCTGATCATCCTCGATTCGCTCTGGATTCCATGAAAGGAAGCTGTAGGGGATGGCTATAGGAGTGATTCCCTCAGTCCCTGCTGAGAACCAGCAAGGATTTTGTGGTGGTAGTATGGGTTCGTTTTTTGTTTTTGTTTGCTATTGTGAGGAATTGCCGGGCGGGGGGGGGGGGGGCGGGGGGTGAAAACATGGTTCCTTTGCGAACCGCCTTGTGCTGAGCGGAAGTGTCAAAAAGGCCTGATCTTGACACAGCAGTTCTATTGGGATGCCATTTGAAAGGATCATAGGTGTTTTGCCGGTCTTTTTTCAATATGTGGAGGAGGACGCGGTTGGTTGCGTTATTTTGTCGAGAATGAGGGGATCTAAAGGTTCCCCTCTGTTGGTGGTTTGGATTGGCGGATAAAGAGGCTATATGAATCTATATGAGACAAGCAAGCGCGAGGATAGAAGACACCGTTGGCTCATGTTTTTCTGGGCTTAGAAAGTGATCCACCTTGGATTTCCGTCCGGTCTTTTGGACGAACACCTACAGTCTGGGTGAATTATATATATATATATATCGACCTCACACAACCTCACCCCAAATGGTGGGGAATAGCCACCCCAACCACCTTATTTCAGGTTGGTGAAATATTTTGATTCACCCAGTAAAATGAACCAACGTTGACAGCAGGTGAGCATCCGCATCATCAACGTGTGCTCGGAGCCTCGTCTTCAATCGGATGGATGGGCCTTTTTTGGGGCTTCCGTTTGGGATTGGTCCTGGCAAAAACCGGGAGCCGAGCAAATCCTTGGGTGGGAACCCGAAGGGCCCAAGAAAGGCGGTTACAGTATTTTTGTTTTTTGGGCTGGAGGTGGGTGTATTGCCACATTTTTCCTTGGTTGGACTGGCCGTTCAACCTTTAGTTGGGCTATATCCTGATTCCACCATCCCCAATAGATCATTTGAAGGTGCCAGTCGTCCTTGCCGCAGCAGTTGGGGACCGGGTTTGGCTTCCAGCCACTCTCTCTCTCTCTCTCTCTCTTTCTCTCTTCGTGGGATTCCGAGCTTCACAAACACCACACCCATCAAAGCCCATTTTGAAGGGAAGTTAAGGAGCCCCCCGATTTCACGTGCCTTTTGAGCCCCCCCTCCCCCCTTCCCCCCGTTTTTACCGACGACGCCTCACTTCCTCGGCCGATAAGCGCCGAAGCGCGGCGGGGTGGCTTCGAGGAGCTGAGCATCGGCTTCTTCGCGAACTTCGGGCACTACTCGGCCCTGGTGCAGGAGGCGCCTTTCTCGGACATCGGTTTGGGAAGTTGTTTCGGAGGTCGGGTGGGTGTGTCGCAAAGTGGAGTTGGACTTTTTGCGAAGGGGATGATTTCACCCCCCCCCACCCTGGGCCCAAAATGGTGGTTTCGCTTTTCGCATGAAAACCCAGCAAAAAGAGGTTTACCCGCAAAAAAGACAGGGATGTTTTTCGGTGTTCCTTTTGTTGGGTTTCCTTTTTTGTCCAATCCAACGTGGTTTCCATAAAACGGCCATCGGCCTTGACACAATTGCCATTGGCCTTGATAAAATGGCCGTTGGCCTTGATAAAGTGGCCATTGGGGCTGGCTTTGCTAAAAACACCTTACAGGGCTTTCTCAAAATTGTGGACCCCGTTGTTGGTTGGGAATTGTTGAAGGGAGGCCAAAAGGACATCAATCATTTTAGGGGGCCACTATATTTGCATTGTCAGACGGATCAATTGGTCACCTTTTTTGCAATTTTGTTTTGCCTGTTTTCATAGCAGCCGGCAGGACAATTCTAGAGGAAACTTGCCAAATCCCAGCCTGTAGAACATGCTGCGGCTGGTTTCTGTTGTATTCAACAATTGCTGGTCTTTGTAATCTGGCCCCCTTGGGGACCTTTTGGCGTCTCAAAATCGAGGACCTCCAAATCGTGAAAGTGTTTTCCCTTTGGCCTCCCTTTACAGTGAGCCTAAAAAGGCCACCCGCCCCTCCCGAGAAAAAAAAGAACAACAAACAAACAAACACATCGACGTTTCATGGATCCGCTGGTCTCGCATCGAGGTGGCTTTGAGCCTGGCGCACCCAAAGAACCGGGCCGAGCTGCGAACGGTGCTGCCCTGGTTCGCCGGAAAAGCCGCCAAGGCTTCCAAGGCCCTGGTGGTGTGAAGCAAAGCAATGGTCTCGCTTCGCCGCGTTTCGGGAGCCGTGGGGGTCTTTGACGAAATTTAAGCTTTTGGGTGGAAGATCGTGTGTTTCCAAGCGCGAACTAGCAAAGATTGATTTGTGGCATCTTTTTAGCCTTGAGTCAACTTTTCGGTTCATGGGTGTTTCCAACTACGAAACGCCCATGGTCCATTTGGGGCCAGCCGCAAAAGCTGGGGGACGAGCACGACATTTCCCGGGTGCTTGGGGGGAGTAATTTTGACCGTGGCTCAAATGCGCCAGAGTGGGTGGATGAAGCCCGGAATCCTACCACACATGGGCAGGGGCAAAGCCATTCCAAAAGGAAAGCGACATTCTTTCACTTGCTCAAGCATATGTTTGCTTTCCTCTGTTGGTTTTACAGCGAACCTATCACCCACGGACGCAAATAATGTTGTTCCAGGCAACTTAAGCAAATGGACCTATTCCCCAAGGGGTCGAACGTGCACCAGCCCATGTTGGGAGGTTCAAGTCTTGGCAACAAGTGCCCGACTGTGTTGTGGCCACCGGCTCTGCTGGTTGCGCCCGAAAACTCGCAGAAGGCGAAGTTGGACAGTTTGAATTCGGCCCAAACGGCCAGGAAGATCTGGGTGCTAAATCGTGTCAAATCCAACAACCGTAGAAGCTGACAGAAGGGTTTCACTTCCATGATTGGAACGAGGGTAAGGGATGCCCGGATGCAGTTCGTGTCAATTCCAGACTTTCAAATTGGCACCCAGAGCTGAGTTCCCTTCTGCACTGCTTCTTGACGGCTTGGCCAAGGCATTTCTGGACACAGGCTCGGGTTAGAGCAGATGGGCACGTGAGATGACGCGGGGCGAGGTGGAAAACCGTCCGCTCCGTTTTTGCTTTCTGCGGCGTGAGGTGCGGGCGGCGGCACTCATGAAGGGTTCCTGCAAACCCTTCCAAGGCTTGAAAGAAGGGATCTCAAGCTACCCACCATATAAAGGGTGGGGATAGTGGTTTGGGGGTAGTGGAAACCGTCTTAGATCGCCGAGTCGGCGATAGGTTAGGCACTGGTGACGTGGCCGAGATGGGGTTTTGCCTACAGGTGGACTCGGTTTCCATCCGGGTCCTTCCATCAAAGATGTGATCCTTCAAATTTTCGGGAGACGGTCACTCACCACTTGGTGTCGGTGGCCGCGAGTTTCTGCCGAAGACATCGCCAGATGGAGAGCATCAACTTCGTCGGGGAGTCCACTTTGAGGTTCCAAGAGGAGGCCAGCGGCTCGTGACGTGCGCCTGTGGGGGCTGGATGGGGCTGGGGAGGGGGAAAAGGGCGGCTGGGTAGCTCGCAGGAGTTGGGTATCCATAGCTTGGAGTCCGGTAGCCCTTTCTTGGTGGTTTAGATTGGCGAGAGTTCTCGGGCTTTGAGGTTTTTGTAGAGGGTCAATGGGAAACTGGACCTAGAGTACCTCCAAGTCGCCCATCAAAGCCCCCAGTTAGAGGGAAGCTGATTTGGGCGGAGGCAGGCCAGTTTTTTTGCACGTGGGGCCATGTCCTAGCCGTGGCAACCATTTTAAACCCTTCCCCAGGATTAGCTCTCCCTTTTTCTTTCTTTTTTCCCCCTTTGTTTTCCACTCGCCATATTGTGTTTTGCTGGGGTCCTAAACTTCCAGCCAAGAGCCCAGGAAGTCTTCTTTTCAACTCAAATGGCCCGAGGCCCAGACGACTTCTTGAAGGGCGGTTTTCTGCGAAAGAAAAATGGGGTGAAGTTCGCTTCAGAAGGCATGGGAGGATCGAGAAATTGGTCAGGTAACTCTTGGGTGGCTTGGACTGGCCTGAACTGATTTGAACCCTTGTAGAGGGCAGATGGAAAACCACCCCGGAAGACCACCAATCCACCCCATCCAATCCAACTCTCCAATCAGAGGGGAGCTGATTCAGCGACGTGGCATCCCATTGCTCACCTTGGCGCGCACTGTTCCTCTTCTTCATTTTTTTTTTGTGAGGGCCACGTCCTAGGTCCGTTTCCCCAAAGCCACCTGGTGCTCAGTAGGGAATGAGGGAATGAACTTGGGGGTTCCCTGAAAGGACACCACCAGTTGGATGCTTTTTCTTGGGTCATTCCATTTACCACCTTTTTTTTTTTGGGGGGGGGGTCATTTCATTTACCACCAGTTGGATGGTTTTTCTTGGGGTCATTTGGATGGTTTTTCTTGGGGTTCCATTTATCACCGCTTGGATGGTTTTTCTTGGTCATTCCATGTCTCATTGACTGAGCACGAGGCGGGTTTCTACCCTCCCTTTGTCCCGTTTCCTGAACGCCGCTCCCCTCGGCTCCCGCGCGCCAGGTGAAAAGCTTGCGCCGGGCTCCCGGGCTCCCGGGCTCCCGGGCTCCCGGCCGAAGGGCCACGGGCGCCGAAGAGTCGAGCCGAGTGCTCGCGATTTCCGCGAGGCAATCGCCTGGACGAGTGCGAGAACACCCGGGACGTGCTCAGAGAGCAGAAGGAGATGGGAGGGGTTGAGGGTTGGGCCGACTATTGCGCGGGTGGGATGGGAAGACTTGGAGTGGGGCAAAAATGCGAAAATCTTCGGAGTTGCGAGGCGTCTTCGGACACTGGAATAGGAGTAGTTAGTCCTCCAGCGCTGGCATCGAGTTCTGGTCACCGTGATTTGTACGTGAGCACGGGCCGGCTGTTGGTGACTTAATGAAGACTTTCCAGAGTTGTTGAGCACGTCAGAAAACCAAGGTGGGGCCCCTGCCCGCCATGGACCCATCTTTCGGGGGGAACGGATTAGGTGCGCTTGGTCTCGCCGGAAATACCTGGTTCTCGCTGGGCGCAAACGCGTGTGTTGTTCACTTGTCCCTTCTCTGGCCTGCCGTCTAAACTACACACCACTGGCTCACAGAGTTGCGGTTTGTGCCCATGAAGGTTCCTTCACGTCCGTTGTCTGCAGGCTGAAGATCATGCGCCCAGGTTGCGTTCCAAACCCCCAACGGAATGGGCAAAACTCCTGCGTCGGTTGGTGATTTATCTCAGTTTGCAGAGGCTTTCGGCTTCATCCATCACTTGTGCCTGGTGCGGATTTTGTCCATCAGTAGCAAAGGATTACTCGAGGACACTTGGATCCTGCCGACTGTATTTGATGAGTGCAGGTGGGTGTGTCTCAAAGTGAGGGACCTCAGTCTCGGCTTCCTTGAAAAGGCGAGAGCGGGATTTGCCAGAGCTCACTTTGGAATTTGTGCCCCAGAGGGTTTCCTTCAGCCTAGGGCATTTAAGAGGCCGGGCCGAAGCCCCGAAGGCGAGCATGGAGACCAAGTTCGATGAGATGAAGACCCGCTCCGACAGGGACCGGATTCGACCGGAAAGCGGAATCGAGCGGAATCGAGCGGATTCGCGCCGGATTCGAGCGATGCGAAGGGACCGGGACTTCGATTTTTTGTTTGCGAGCCTCGAGCGGATTCGACCGCTGGCGGATTCGACCGAAGTCGCGATTCCACGTCGCGCGAAAGCGAGCCGTTGCGTCGCATGGGATGCGTCGAATTCGGGGCAGCTCAATCGGGTATCCGGGTATCCGCACCTTTTGCAAGGGGAGTGTTGCATCTGCCCCTTTGGTTTTGAATCATGCAAGATTGACAGCCAACAGCCAAATGGCAGCAGAAACTAGCTCAGGGGTGCCCTTTTTTCAGCCATTAACATGTTTGTAGGGCCCGCTTTTCCCACATGCGGTGGATGCCCATGGGAAATGGCGGCAAATTGGAAGGTGTCCTTTCCCCCCTACTTGCAATATTCAGGGCATCCACCCACATCATGTCTGTGGTCAAGTTGGGTTTGAGGATATCGGAGGTCGAGAAAACAAGCGCCGACGATACGCGCCATGGGTAGCTAATTGCATTTGGTATCCGAGTTTCGGTGCATTTGTGGCCATGGTCCCGAAAGGTGGACTTACTGTGGATGGACGAAATCCATTTCGCACCACCTAAGAATCCCTGGAATGATGATTCCTCTGTAAATACCGACAAACAATGGTTTCCGATGGTTTCAAAGTGGTGCAGGATTTTGTCCATCCGCAGTATGTCACAGACTTGTTGGGGTAGGCGATGGTCTGCCCCCCTTCTGGGTTGTCCAAAGTCAATCAGTAGTTTGCCCTTACGGATTACGGACTAGTCCACTGCAAATTGACATGCAGCCCCAAAACCATCTTTTGCAGTTCTTTTTGGGGATTATCCAATGTCAAATGCGCGGGGTAGTCCCATTCAGATGGGATCAAGGGGTAGGACCAACCCCCCCAAACCCCAGCTTAAACCCCCTTGCACACCTTCAAATGCAAAAGGAAGATATAACTGGGATTTGGACAAGGAGGGATCCAGGAAAGCAGGGGAAAGGTAAGGGAAACCATGGGAAACTAAGGGAAAGGGAAACCAAGGGACACTAAGAGAAATGAAGGGAAACTAAGGGAAACCAAGAGAAAAGAGGGAAAACCAAGGGGAAACCAAGCGAAACCAAGGAAGCCAAGGGAAACCAAGGACCCCAGTTTGAACCAGTCAGGACCGATGGCTGGCTGAGGAGTCGCACAAGCAGCAGCTCGGCCAAGACAGCGCCTGGTTTTCCCCTAAGGTTTTTGGCTTTTTAGGGTTGAGTGGGGGGGTTTCCATTGCCCACTAAAAGTGAATCATTTGGCAAAAACCAGATCCAGTTGGCCTTTTCAAGGGTAACATTGAAAACTGGGTGGTTCCCCGCCATCCGGTTCCAAAAGTTTTGGAGTTTTTTAAGTTCAGTGCAGTTGGCTCCAGGAACATGGACATCCTCAGCAACCTGGAACGCATGGAGAAGCAGGCGCGTCTTCAGCAACCTGCTCGGGACAGTGCAGGCTGCAGAACATGGGGGTTGATCAATAGGTCCGATGAACATGGGGGATGCCCCTTCCCCAAGAAGCGAGTTTACACAGGATGACTATCAGGGAAACCACAAGAAAGGCTTTCACCACTAAAATGGCAAGGTCAATGGCAGGAATATTGATTTACCCCGACATGTCACAGGTAGTTTTTTCTTTTTTTGCTTGGTGGTTTTACACCTCTCCTTTTTGGCACA